GCAACTTTCGTTCTTTTCACAGACAAAGTGTATGGAATATGTGGAGTCCACAACTCCACATTGCTTCTTGGTTTGTTGTGCAGAGTCCGTATGAACAAAGCTGGCACCGAATCACGCTTGCCCAATGAAACTCGGATGTGCCTTACCTTTCTTTTAGCCTGATGCTCATCACTGTTGTGATTTGTTCTGGGATCGCCCTTCTGTGAAGAAATCGGATAGCTTGCATCAGTCATTACATTGTGTAAGCAATAGCATACCAGAAATGAGTGTTTCCATAATTCGATTCGTCATGTATCGAGTTTAATCATCTGCATTTGTTATGTCACGTTGTTTTTCTTGCAATATATGGGATGAATCTGTCGATTTTGTTCTCATAATTACTTCCTTCACATTGGCATCTGTTTTGTCACTTTGGTGTGTTCCTTTTCTTTGTTATTTTTTTCCTTTCAACTTTTGTACTGAAGATTCAAATGTTGATAGAAATTTACATGGGGTATGCTAGTTTCGGAAGAAAAAAAAATGATTTACGCGTTGTTATCTCAATGACAAATACTCTCTATCTTCTTTGTGGCAGGAGTTCTCCAACTCATCAATAATCTGCAAGATGTGAATAAGTCTCAAGTAGACTTTGCACCATTTGAGACACAATGAAGATAGGTCTGCTCATGTTGCTTGTTCTCTTCCTGGTCATGTCCCCTGATGGGATCCGCAGGAGCTTAGCCGCGAGGCCTTCTATTGTGAATATTGGGGCCATTCTTCGATTTAACTCCACCATTGGAGGTGTTTCGATGATTGCTATCCAGGCAGCCTTGGAGGATATTAATTCTGATTCAACAATTCTAAATGGAACAACTTTAAAAGTTGACATGAGGGATACAAATTGTGATGATGGTTTCCTTGGGATGGTTGAAGGTAGGCTAGCTGTTACACTCCTTTCATTTTGTTTGCATTGTTAAATAGAATGTGCTTTGTGTTGTGGAGTTCTGATGATACTACATTCTTTGTATCAGCTTTGCAGTTCATGGAGACTGATGTGATTGCAATTATTGGCCCACAGTGCTCAACAATTGCACATATCGTTTCATATGTAGCAAATGAGCTCCGAGTCCCTCTTATGTCCTTTGCATCTGATGCAACTTTGTCATCAATTCAGTTCCCATTCTTTGTTCGAACTGCTCCCAGTGATCTCTATCAAATGGATGCTGTAGCTGCAATAGTTGACTACTACCGTTGGAAGATAGTGACTGCTATATATATTGATGATGATTATGGCCGAAATGGAATAGCCACATTGGATGATGCACTTACTCAAAGGCGCTGCAAAATCTCCTACAAGATTGCATTTCCTGCAAATGCTAGAAAGAGCGACCTCATAAATTTATTGGTCAGCGTTAGTTATATGGAGTCTCGTGTTATCATCCTCCATACTGGTGCTGGACCTGGACTCAAGATTTTCTCTCTGGCGAACCAACTAAGCATGATGGGCAATGGCTATGTATGGATTGCAACTGATTGGCTTTCTGCTTATCTCGATGCTAATTCATCGGTTCCTGATGAGACTATGTATGGCATGCAAGGAGTTCTCACTTTACGCCCACACATTCCTGAATCAAAGATGAAGAGTAATTTGATCTCCAAGTGGAGCAGGTTAAGCAAGAAGTACAGTTATAGTTATCTCCGCACAAGTTCATATGCTTTTTATGTTTATGATAGTGTATGGGCAGTAGCTCGGGCTTTGGATGCTTTCTTTGATGATGGTGGGAAGATTTCCTTTTCAAATGATTCAAGGCTGCGTGATGAAACTGGAGGTACTCTTCACCTTGAAGCAATGAGTATTTTTGATATGGGAAATAACTTGTTGGAGAAGATTAGAAAGGCAAACTTCACTGGGGTGTCTGGGCAAGTGCAATTTGATGCTACTGGTGACCTCATTCATCCTGCTTATGATGTCATAAATATAATTGGAAATGGCATGCGGACAGTTGGCTATTGGTCAAATTATTCTAGCTTGCTGTCGACTGTCCTTCCGGAGGTTCTCTATTCAGAGCCTCCTAACAATTCTCTAGCTAATCAACATCTATATGATGTTATTTGGCCTGGGCAGACTGCACAAACGCCTCGAGGCTGGGTTTTTCCTTCTAATGCTAAGGAGTTGAAAATTGGTGTCCCCAACAGATTTAGCTTCAGAGAATTTGTCACAAAAGATAATGTTACTGGATCAATGAAGGGCTATTGCATTGATGTCTTTACTCAGGCATTGGCTTTGCTTCCTTATCCTGTTACATACAAGTTTATACCATTTGGGGGTGGTAATGAAAATCCACATTATGACAAACTCGTACAAATGGTTGAGGATAACGTAAGTATGGACAAGTGATGCTTTTCTTCTTCTGCACTTTCTATCACAGGTGATATTGATCAGAATTTTCCTATCCTGCAGGAGTTTGACGCAGCAATAGGGGATATTGCAATTACAATGAGCAGGACTGTAACTACTGATTTCACCCAGCCCTTCATTGAATCTGGCTTGGTTATCTTGGCTCCAGTTAAAAAACATATTGTTAATTCCTGGGCATTCTTGCAGCCATTCACTCTTCAGATGTGGTGTGTTACTGGATTATTCTTTCTTGTTGTGGGTGCAGTTGTTTGGGTTCTTGAACATCGAATAAATGACGAATTCCGTGGCTCACCGCGAGAACAAATAATTACTATTTTCTGGTATGGAGCTGATTTGAACATTTTGTATCATCTGCCCACTTGTCAATCAATCTACAGATATTAAGATACAAAAAAACCTTTTTTGCAATACATTGCACATAGCTAGCACCTTAAAAATCCTGTTTCTATATTTCTACACAGCCAAGTCCTCCAATTTGCATGTGTAAATGAGGTATTGATGAGCAATGCACCTAAACCTTGTTTTACGTATTCTCTGCATATGCAGAATCTATTGCATATGATAGTATGATGCATTACTTGCACATTGCTTGCTTGATGGTGTGCATCTTTGCTACCAAATTTGTGACCTTAATCTCAATTTTTATATTCTACAGGTTCAGCTTTTCAACCTTGTTTTTTGCACACAGTGAGTAAACCAACCTTCTATTATATGTTTTTTGGGGCAAAAGTAATATTTCAGTCTGACACATTGCTTTCATCTCTATCTGCTCCAGGAGAAAATACCATGAGTACCTTAGGACGTGGTGTCTTGATCATATGGCTATTTGTTGTTTTAATCATTCAATCCAGCTATACTGCAAGTCTTACTTCCATCCTGACTGTTCAACAACTCGATACTTCTATAAGAGGAATTGATGACCTGAAAAATAGTGATGGTCCTATTGGTTTCCAAGTTGGTTCTTTTGCAGAAGAATACATGGTCAGGGAGCTGAACATCTCACGGTCGAGGCTGAGAGCTCTTGGTTCTCCAGAAGAATACGCTGAAGCGCTTAAGCATGGCCCTAAGAGAGGAGGTGTCATGGCCATTGTAGATGAGCGCCCCTACGTTGAACTGTTTTTGTCAACTTATTGCAAGATTGCAGTTGCTGGTTCGGATTTCACCAGCAGAGGATGGGGCTTTGTAAGTACATTTAAACTTGATTTTCTTTAACATGGATTAGAAAAACAAAGAGAAAACAACTAGACACAAAATATAACAACTTAGCTTATGAAGTACTACTTGTTTCTCATCATTAAAACATAGTGCTTAATAAAGTTCACTCTTATCAGGCATTTCCAAGAGACTCCCCTTTGCAAATTGACCTATCGACTGCGATCCTGTCACTGTCGGAGAACGGGGAACTGCAGAGGATCCATGACAAATGGCTCAAGACTAGCGAGTGCTCAGCCGACAACACCGAGTTTGTCGACTCGGATCAGCTCCGCCTTGAGAGCTTCTGGGGCCTGTTCCTCATTTGTGGTATCGCATGTGTCATCGCGCTGCTCATCTACTTTTTCACCACCGTACGCAAATTCCTCAGGCATGAACCTCCAGAAGATCCAACACCTCGTCCAGGCGGATCAACAACTCTTCCAGACGAACGAACACCCCCAAAGAACGGACAAGAGAAATGCAACTGCAGAAATTTCATCTCATTTCTTGATCACAAGGAGCCACCAAAGAAGAAGCGGTCCTTGAGTTTGACGCCGACAACGCCATTGAGCAACTTTACTGCCCTTGAAATAGAAGGACCTGTGAGGACAGTCAGGAATGGTAGTGTCGTTGACATATAGAACTAGTGTGTGTAAAAAGCTGAGATGTTATATATTTTGGATCTGAGATATGCCATCTTTCGGTCAATCTCCTCAATTTTAGTTGAGAGAAAATATAATCAGAGGCTGCATAAGATGCTATCTGTAGATTTCAAGCAAATCCGGTGATGGGAAAAATTCATTTGAGGCCAGTTTGGCAACTGAAAAACTGTATAGAAAGTTATTCTTGTCCTTGATGGTATTTTGAATGGAGGAAATATATACGTCTGTTTGATTAATTTTTTCATGAACTTTCTCTTGTCATGCTTGATGTGTACCTTGTCCCTGAATCTATGTGAGCAGTCAAGTCTTCAACTTTTCTGTCTAAACCATATGAAATCGCAGGTGTCTCGATTTTGAAATGCTAAAGGAATCTGTTGTGCACTTGTGATTGCTTGAGGTGTACTGCACATAAGAGAACTATAAAGCACTGGATGCAGAAGTCCTTTGCTGCTGGGAAAAGCTCCCATTTTTTTGAACTGAATTTGCAGGCTATATGTTTCAAAAAAGAAAAAAAAAGGAATTTGCAGGCTCATAATACATAATCCATTCTAGTTAAATGTATCAGAATAAAACAGGTCACTAACAAGTTTTGTAGTTGCAACTTAGCACTTATTATTAGTTTGAGTAATTAGCTGCAATACATTATGACATATAAGAAAATCAAGTTAACAACGAAATAATAACAATTGGAAAAATATAAAAAAAAGGGGGGAGATGGCTTTTTTATTTTTTTTTTTGAATGGAAATGGAATATTCTGAATTTCTGAATTATTCTCGGTAGACAGGTAGCATCTTTATGGATATGATATGCGCGCCATTTCGGCTCTTCTCCTCCGTCCCCTTCCTCCGCTGGATTCCTCCATGGCTTCCTCTTCCCTCCCTTCTAGAACCTTCTACCGCCACTCGCTTCCCTCCTCCGCACCTCCACCTCCTTCGAGAGGGGCCTGCGCCGCCGCATGCTGCTGCCTCCGCGCGGCCGTCTCCCGGCGGCGGGCAGCCGCGCAGCTGCTCTCCGCCGCCGGATTCTTGATCGCCGTCTCGCCGCCTTCGCTAGCCGCGCGGAGGGGCCGCATGGTCGTGTCGCTGGAGGACTACGTCACTTCACGTACGCTCTTGGTTTTTTTTTGGTTTCTGATTTTGCCATCAGATTTGGGATAAAGCGTGTATTTCTTGTCAAGAACAAAAGAAAAGGAAGAAAAAGGCAGTAACCACATCTAACTTGTGCTGCAAAAGAATCTTGGATATCCAAGAAATTTCAGCTTTTCTAGATAATCTGGTGGCATGATTTTATACTGTAAATGCAGCGTGCTTTTAGATCAATAGCATTCCTGAATTCTCACTGTAAACATCAATAACATCTGAATTTAGTTTTTTTCCCCGAGTGGTTTGGTTGATTTCAAAATGTTTGGGCACAGCTGATGGCCTGAAGTACTATGATCTTGTTGAAGGGAAGGGTCCAACTGCTGAAAAGGGCTCAACTGTGCAGGTAATTTCTCCCACCTGCACACAATTCCCCATTCTTTCATTCCTAACTGAAGTGAAACTAATGGCTATATTCTCTTCTCAAGGTCCATTTTGATTGCATATACCGTGGCATCACCGCTGTGTCAAGCCGCGAAGCCAAACTACTGGCAGGGAACCGGAGTATTGCGCAGGTTATGAGGCAAATCACTCCTGAAGTTTGAATGCTAGTACTTTTGCTCTAGGACAATAAGAACTAACATGTCTGCATCTCTTCTTCTAGTAGCCTTATGAGTTCAGTGTCGGATCGCTGCCCGGGAAAGAGCGAAAGCGGGAATTTGTAGACAGTGCCAATGGGTTATACTCAGCACAGGCGTCACCGAAACCTCCTGCCGCAATGTACACAATAACTGAAGGGATGAAAGTGGGGGGAAAGGTATGTACAAGGCAAATAGCCAAAGGGTTGTACTCAGTGGCAGGCTAAGAATGTAGCCTTTGTATCTTTACTTTATTATTGACTTGGTCATCTGTTGTTCTGTATTCTGGTAATGCAGAGGAGAGTAATTGTCCCTCCAGAGCTCGGATATGGGAAAAAGGGGATGAATGAGATACCGGTAACATTTCAGAATATTGAAACAGTTTCTCATGTAGTTTGATTTAGTATTTAAGCACATCCAGGTACTGAAGTGGTGTAGTTTGAATCCATGCTTGTTTGCAGCCTGATGCTCCTTTTGAACTCGATATAGAGCTTTTGGAAGTTGTCCCTCCTGCAGAGAAATGACCATTTTTGTTTGCAATGGATGGGGAACTTTCATGAGGTATTAATAGGAAGTTTCACAGGTTTTAGTGACAAACGTTAATGGAATTATAACATTTTGTTTTCTTGCTGATTGTTGAACAGATATGTAACCAAATATGTTCATATGATATTTTGCCGGGACATGACTTGTTTGCCCACTCACAAGGAGAAAATAGAACAAGAAGCAAAGTCAAGTAGGTAAAAGACATGTACTAATTTTGTTATTCCTTATGCCGAAGCAATATTGGATCAAAAATATTCTCCACAATGTCGTGGAGCTTGATTGATTATATGGAATGGTGATATGATCTCTCTTTGTGAACTCTGCATCCTTTCGCTCAAAGGTCCTCGGGGCCATTGATATCCTGAAATGAGAGAATACATTTTGTTTGAGATATATGTTTATATTTCAAATAAAATAGTGTTTCAGTGGATGAATAGAATGCTAAAATTTAGCTCCTCATGTAAGATTGTATTGCTGTGAATTATCTACAAATTATCCTGACTGATAAATAGTTATATGTTTTTCTATGGCCATCCCAGATAAACAGTCATATGTGCCAAAGTTAGATCATACGATATCTGTTTTTAAACTGCAAATTTCTACATCAATGATATTGTGCTTCTTGGGAGAAAAAGTACCTTGTTCTCGATCACTGCTCCATCTGGGATTTCCAGTTTGACACCAGGTTGGGCTGTGATGGTCACCTTGCCCTTTAAAAGATAAAGAGAAAAATATGATTTCATTGTTTAAACACTGATCAATGAGAAGTGAAGCTGTACTCTGAATTAAGATTGTGTAAACACAGCATATAAAAGGTTGCATACAGATATGCAGTATTTCAAAAATACATGAAAAATAGTCCAAATATTTTCTGTAAGAACTATAACTACAAGAAAGACTATAATTTTAAGCAACTTTGGCAAAAGTACCTTCAATGTGATGCTAGAGCCAAACCAAACATCACCGGAAACCTTCAAGGTGTCAAGCTCAACAATGCTGGGGATTGACTTGAAGCGACCAAGGAAACACCCGACCTGCCATTACGCGAAGAAGGATCAGTTAATTTCATTTGAACTCATGAACTAAATTAAAGCTTTTGCATGAGGAAATAATGTTGGAAGGAACTATACCTTCTTGAACTCTGGACCCAGTTCAATTGAGGGATTCGATGGGTTTGTTCTGGCCGGGTTGCGTGTAACAAAGCCATCAACCAAGGTATATAGATCAGACTGCAAGGGTGAAACAGTTAAGTTAGAATGAGTGTTACCCTAAAAAGTTTACTCAGAGTGTCATACAGACCTGTACTAGCTGCAAATCTGATGTTGCCTTCACTGGTAGGAACCGGGACCTTGGAACATTGATACCAATTGCGTGATCAAAGAACTGGTACACAAAAATATGACTTATCATCTTTGTATGTTAGGAAAAAGAATGATGATGGTTATGTAGTAATTTGTTAGTACCCTGATTGCTGCACCAGCTGCTGTTTCCAACTGAAGAACTTTAACTCCATCCACTTCCTGAAATTATATGTTGCACATGTCAGTTGTTTGTTTAATTCTTCTCAAATCATTGGACAGTAATAGTGCATTGTTACCTTAGGGTTTGGAATGATCTCCATCTTTAGTGCATCAGCCTCAACAAGGCGCTTGATAGCCTTCAAGTTCACCCATCTACCAAAACCGGCAGCAACATTAGATAACATTGGGACAATCTCATCTAAAATGGAATAAAGACTATATATGAATCCACTTACAGATTGTTCGTGTTGAAGATCTTGAATTTCTCGATGGATTTGAATTCATTCACCTATGTTTCAGAAAAGTGTGAAAGCAACCTCAGATAAGTTCTATAATATATTTAGTCTAATTTGATGTCACAACTTAATTACATTACTTACATGTGCATCAGGAACTTGTGCAATCTCCAGGAGCTGGAAAGCAAAAATATTATCGTCACCAAAACAGCAGTTACATAATGGTTGAAAATTATCCTCCAAAGAAACTCAAGTCTAGCACAGCAACTTGTTTATATGTTCAGTACTCCAAGTAATTAAATTGCATCATTGCGGTTGGTAAAACAAGGAAGAACCAAAGTTTACCTGAACCTTGTCTTCATATGAGATCAGTGTGCCACCTTTAACATCAGCCAGAGTTTTCGGGGTAACCTAAAAATGGATTTTAAAACTTTACTAACCAACTATATGTGTAGTATCTTACTCATTCGATACCACGCAATCACATACCTCCATGCAATATTCATTCTGTTTGTGGATCAAATGGTTCAGTATCTCTGTTCAATAGTTAAGTACATTCCCAAAAAGCTCTCCTTTCTTAACCAGAAAGTCTGTAAAGCTAATATGGTGAATTAATGGAATAACTAAGAACTATATATATAAGGATACTCATGTCCACTATAGCACCCAAGTTATCTGAGTTTGCAATGAACACATACTCCTTTCCCTGCAATAGGATAAAAAGGGTGATATTACATGCATGCATGAAAACTTTGTATGAAATGTGGGAGCTGATAGTATTCCTAGATGACAATCACAAACCTGTGAAAGTAACAAATCAAGCTTGCCACTGTTCATCAGGGATGGGAAGATATCACCATGGCCAGGAGGGTACCTGAAAAAATGTGTAATGCAAAGGTTGTAAAAAATTCAAATTATTCGCCTAGTTCATCTTGCTGATGTAGCGATCTATGAAGAATGGCTTACCAGCCATCCTTGCAGGTCTTCCCCTTGGAAGGCCATGGCAAGAACTCATCGGCTACCACACGAGGATACTGGCTCTGCATTGGATCAAATTTGTTTTGGTGTCAGTAGCATTTTGTAAAACTTGGCGAAAACAAGGAAATTCAGCAGACATGCCTGATTGAAAGTATGGACTTCAATGTTCGAATTGGTGTATTTCTCAACAATCTGCAGGAAAAGCGTGCCGGTTAGTACTCTGAAATTTGTTCAGTCAGAAAAGGTTTTGTCAGGTAAGAAGAGATTGCCTTCAAGGTGTCTTCATGGGTGTTGAATGAGTTCATCAGAAGCAGTGGGACATTGCTGCCATACTTCTTGTTGAGGGACTGCAAAAGAAAGCCATGTCACCGAATGCCATAATGCAGTTTGCAGCAAGATGAATCAACAATGGATGAATCTTGCGTGAAGTTTTTAGGAACCCACCTCGATCTGGATCACAATCAAGTCGAGGAATGTGAATCCGTTGCGCACTTCGATGACCGATCTGCGAGGCCATGAGCAACATTAATTCTATGTTACATTGACATGATGATGATGATGAACAATGTCTTCCTAATAATGTCCAAATTGAGAAGAGATTGATGAGAAGAAAACACATACTTTGGTCCGGTGCATCCCATGGTGGTGCCGAGGCCGCCGTTGAGCTTGAGCACGGCGAGCTTGTTGAGCAGCTTCTTGGTCTCCTCCAAGTCCTCCGGCGGCGCCGCCAGGGTGTCGTACGGCACCACCACCTCGTCCGTCGGCGTGTGGATCTTTGCCCATTCCACATGCTCCTCCTCGCCACTTTTTTTTTCATTAATTTTGGATCATATCGATTCAGTAATCAGTTCATCGTCAGATGCATACAGTTAAGTAGCAGCTTGATCAGAAATGGTCATCCATGGAGGATAGGATGTGTTTACCTGAGGTAGCGGGCGACGAGGCTGATGAACCCGGACTTCTCGTTGTCACTGCACGCATGCAATGATTTGATTCAAAACCCAAAATCGATCAGCAGATCAAACTTGAGCGATCAGATGAGGAATTAATTCAGAATTAAGAGACTAATATAATTACCTGATCTGCGAGAGGCCGGCGACGGCTTCACGCAGCTTGGCGAGCTTCTCGTCCGCCATTTTTGTGTTCTTGCCGCTGCTTCACGCTGATCTGATGAGACAGATGAATCGGATCGGATCGGAGAAAGCTCGATCTTGTTGGTTTTTATAAATAAACGAGAGGAAACGAGAGGAGAGCTCGCATCGCATGAAGAGGAAACGAAAGCAATGGCGGACAATGCGCGCGACGCGGCGAAAACGCGGGAGCACCCAACGTTTTTACACTTTCCTCTTTTGTTTGTTACCTTCCATTTCCCTCCTTTTTTTTTTTGGACACAGGTTTCCCGGGCTTTTCTTAGAGTTATTTATTTATTATTACTGCTATTTTTAACGAGGTATATGCTTTTGTGGTGAAGCAGCACTTCTCTTCTGTTCAAGCATATCAACATTTTTCAGAATTTTCTTCATTTCAAAACATTGAGCATTCATTCATTCATTCATTCATCATCTAATTCCAATCCAATATCTTACACCAATTGATCAGCACGTCAAAACGTATTAAGATTTCAGCATCTGTACAAAGAATTAATATTAATGTCTAGGAGTCATCCAAGATGAGAACCAAGACCAGATTTTTCCTGGAATGCGCTCTCCCTATTGTGTTTCTAACATTTCATCTACCATCCTTAGGCTCTCGTTTTCTTGTACCGACATACACACAAATATGGAGGTAACATTCAGGGTTCTTCAGGTTGTTGGCAACCCAAAGGAAAGGTATGTCCATGTCGACCTCAATGCCTTGCACCCTTACTAGCTTCACTATTTTACCCTTGTTGGCCACATTCGCCTCTTGCGGGCTCGACGAAGCAGACGACTCTAACTTCTCACAACTTCTTGGGGTGACATCAGAATCATCATTAGGGGCTGAATCTGGTGCCTGAGGAGCAGTTTCGGAATCGTCGGGTATACGTGATGCCTTCGAGCTGAAGAACTCAGGTAGCAAAGTTTTCAACGCATGTTCCAGGGTGATGTAGCTTCTACCTGCACCAAAGAAATGTATCAGGAAAGCACTGCTGATACTGCACCGTAAAACATTCTGAATCATAGCACCACAATATCAAGCATAATGGTGTAAGCATTATTTTTTGGGGGATAACCACAACCCTTTAGTGAAACCAAATATTTCATAGCATCTGGATCTCTATCCCTACACCACACGTTTCACAGGAATGAGGGGAAATGAAATGTACAACAATAGGGCACTACTACTGTCTCGAAATTATAAAAGAGCGCCACTACTTCCAGGTTGGTGAACGAACCCTTTGAAGCATGCAAAAACGGTATGCAAACCACTCATGAAGGACAAGTAAACGCTTGACCAAATTTGTTCTACTGTCATCCAAAAGATATAAATGTTAATTACAATGCTACATACCTTCCTCCCTCCGTACTTCGAATGGTCGGTTAATATAGGATATGCTTTCCCAATCACCAACAGGTAGTGCATCTTCTAAATCATAAAGGTCTTCTTGAACACTGCGCACATATAATCGAACAGGAACCCTGCCTAACCAGAGAATAACTGATAAGAGCCAGGATGGTAGCTGATTCATTGTAACATGTTGAAATCACTTATTATGTGACTACAAGCACACAGAAAATTTAAAATGTGAAAACTATGCACCAACTAGCTACTGTATAAAAAACTTGTGCATATGGAGTGTATGTGAATGCTCAATTAATAGTAAAGGTAGACATATTCAATGCAGAAAAGCATACATGGTTTGCCAGATCCAGGAGATTCAGGCTCATCAGAACCTTGTTGACCCTCTACTGAGGAAGTTCGTACTAAGCAATCCTCTTCGAATGGTCCAAGCTTAAGCCTGGTGGAGATATTCATATACCCATCTAAGTTACCTAATATCAAAATAACACAATTCTGGTTAAATGATGAAGATACAGTATTCAGAGAATGCACCACACTCAAATAGTAGGCAATATTAGTCAGAGTGCTTGATATGTACTAATTTACAAACAACCATTTCATAATGAACTTATTAAGCATGGCTAGTATTCAAGTGTTCTTTCTGAAGAGCACACCTTTCATTACTGATTGCCACAAAGCACCTTGATCAGCCTGAGACATATTCATCACATTCTTACTGTTGCCAGTGATGATGAAGGCAGCCTGCACAAGAAAAAAGATTACTCTCGTGATCACACTCCACTTCCTTGCTGCAGGAACAAAGGATTGGGTAATGGCAGATCTCATAAACAAACCTCTTTCAGGGAATTCATGTAGCTCCACTTTACACTATCTTCGCCATCACAGAGAGTTAAAATTTCAGAAGGATATCCCCTAAAATGAACCTACAATTTTATGATAGAAAAGCATCATACAAGTCAAGCAAGGAAATAAACAAATAAATAAATGGGAAAATTTAAACAACTCTAGACTTACTGTTAGATTCCATGGTCTTTCTGGATCTGCACATAGAAGGTCGTAAAGAACTCCAATGGGTATATACCTATAGTGCAAAGGTAAATCGGGGAGTTGGGAATTTGAGAGGGTAGTTTTGAAGATAATGTTAGAGCCAATAAATTCATATTCATAAATATTCGACACACTTCAACAATATGCCACTGACTTTGTCGATATCCATAATATGCCGTTGCCTTTTCCTTAACCTCTACAATTTACCATCGCCGTCTATAGTCTGTTAGTTTGCATTGGAGAAAAAACAAGTGTGCCCTTAGTGAAGATTGGCAGCACTGAGACCATGTCGTGCAAGGTACCGAGAGTTATAATAACTGTTTATTTATGCAACATGATTATAAATAATTACGAGCACATATTTTAAGTATTTTAATTATGAGCAAATATCTCCAAGGCTACAGGACAGGAGGGGGCAGATCTTTGATTGGGTGCCGATGACTGTTGAGGAGCGGTTGAGGATTGCACTGACGACAGAACCAGCACTCCAGCAGGGCCAGGGCCACCATGTCCCCTTGCAAGCGATGGCGGCGCTGACGACGGCGGCGGCACCAGCAACAGCTCTCCGGCAGGGGCGTTGTGTCCCCTTGTTTGCGACGGCAGCGCTAATGACGATGGCAGCACCACCAGCAGCCCTCCAACAGGGACGCCATCTCCCGTTAGATGTGACGACGGCTTTGACGACAATGGTCGGACCGCCGCTGTGGATGGCGGTTGGGCCAGCGCTACGGATGGTGACGCTGGTGACGGAGGTCGTGCCGGCGCTAGGGATGGCGGTGCTGGCGAGGACATGTGAGCGGCGGTAGGCGGAGATGCGGCGTGGCGCCGACGCGCCGTGGCGGCACTGGGAAGGGTGGCAATGCGGCGTTGGGAGATGCGATGCTAGGAAGAAAGGGCCCTAGGCCATGCGGATTAGATGATTCAAAGGATATTTTGGTCATTACTAAAAAAATTAACAGTGCAAACAGCGTGTAGCTTGACGGCGATGGTAAATTGTAGAGGTTAAGGAAAAGGCGATGGCATATTATGGATATCGACAAAGTCAGTGGCATATTGTTGAAGTGTGTCCAACTCAGTGGTACTGAGTAGATTCTCTCCATAAATATTGGTAGGAGATAACGTATGTTACCATTTTAAGGGCAGCCCTTTGTATTCAAACCAAACAGTGTCAATACCAGGCGGGAGTGTGCTGCTAAAATGAGCCTTTATAATTGGTACCAACAGTGGAAGATACCCGATTCTTGGCCCCAAAGTCTGTTATTGATGAAACAGAACTCCATAAGTAAAGCCGATAAGGTAATGAAGTATCATAACATAACGTAAATTAATTATTAAAAAAGATCACTCACATAAAGGGAAAGATGAGCAATGAACCCACCTTAACATATATGGTGTGTACAAACTCAAAAGTATAACTTGCATTTGTTGCACTTGGTAAAAACAAGGGAGAACAATGACTATATATCATGCAGCAACTCTTTTCTTTACACATAATATGTGAACAAAACAAGCAAGTCATCAATTCACCAATCAAGTCCACTGAGTCAAAAAAGGCACCCCCTAATATTGTACATAGACCTACAAATTCAGGAATCCTAATTAAAACTGCAATCAACAACCTAAGTGCTAGAACGATTGTAATCCAAACAGGCAGCCTAGTAATCCAGAGAATCTGAGTACTCGGGATCCAACAACTCGTGGCAAAGATCCAAGATTTGGATGGGAGACCTCCAATTGAAGAGCATAGCCACAGGCCGAGAAGGAGAAGACGATGATGGGAAAAGCATGAGGCTTTACCAGGAAGGGCGGAGGTGGGGGGAGGGTGGTGACGTCGGCGTCGTGGAGGTGGACCTGGAGCGGCACGGCGCCGCCCCAGACCCGCCGCGCCGCCTCCGCCGACCACCCGGCCTCGTCGTCGCGCTGCGCCGCCATTGCCGCCGGAGGAGAGATCTGCCGCCGCCGCCGCCTAATCTTTGATGGTTTTTGCTTGTCGCAGGCAGCAAACGACTCGGATTTGATTTCCCCTTCTTCCTCTCTTCGGCACCGGTGCTGTGGCTGCATCCACCGTCCGATTCTACCTTGAGATTCGTGCCAAATCCGTGTGTAGAAAATCTGATTTCTGATTGAACTCTGTATATATATATATATATATATATATATATATATATAAAGTGTTGTAATTTGTGTATGGAAAGGATTACAGAACACACACAAGAAAAAATCCATTTAAAGCATCAGCTCAATCAGGATTAAAACCCAACAACGTTTCTTTCATAGCTCTAAACTCCAAAGAGAGGAGAGGACTGGAAAGTGTGAAGCTTCACTCTACTGAGCAATTGCAGTTTCATCAACGTCAAGTGTGCAAGTACAAAATTTCTTCAGTAAGTATTTAAGTGTACTTAACAGTTAACTCCACCATCTCCTATCTTGGTTTTCCATAAGAAGAAAAGAATTACAGGCAACAAGAGTAGCTACCTAGCTTTTTAATGCTCCTGTTCTAAATACAGCATGCCATTCATCGTGTTTGTTCCCACACAACATTTACAGTGCAGTTGCCACAATGGTCCAAGCTTCAGCATGTCATCAACCATTTGCCTGCTTGAAGTGATGCAAGATCCGTGCAGCCAAGATGTCGACCCAAGTGTCCGGCACGCCAGGAAGGCACCAATGCATGCAGTCCTGCCCCCATACAGCCACCGCGTCCTTCTTTCCGAGCCAGATTGCCGGATGCGCATCGGCACGGAACTCGCTCATGTAGGTCAGGTTGAGCAGCTGGATGTCTGTGCCAATCAGGGCCTCCTGAATCGCCGAATTCACTAGCCTTGCTTCTTTGTTCACTCCTCCAAACCTGGGATCGAACCACAAGTCGAGCTGCACAAGATTTTGTTACAGCCGCGTCATGATTCAGAACTTTAAAATGCATTTCTGAAGCAAAAACAGTCTGAACTCAGAGCGTTACCTCGTGTTCTTGTAGAAGCCGATCAGACACGCAGCTGCCATTGTGATCCCATTCACCTCCATAGAAGTGCCTGGGTGACTGTGAGCGCCACAGTTTCAGTGTTTTACTTGGGACCTCCCTTTCAATGTAAGAGGCCATACTTTTGAGGACTACTTTCAATCCATCGTAGATGCCAAGTGGCGGCTCAATTGGTTTCCCTCCTCGGTAGAAAACAAGGGGGGTCTCTTTTGGGAATTTATCCAGGCCCCACCTGATAAGGGACAAGCATCAAGCATTATAACAGGAATGGTGCACGCATGGCTCCTAACCAACCTAGGAACAAATTAGAATTTACAAAGAATTTTATGGAGACGCACAAGAATTTTATCCAAAGAAATTTACAAAGCAAGATGCACAAGCATGATCTACTATGCTTAGAATTTTATGGAGAAGCACGCATCCAGGAGATGGCATCCTTGGAGGAAATTTACAATATAAAACCAAAAGAACATTTTAAGGCTGTGCAAGAAAGGTATGACGAGCCCACCTCCCAAGTGATGTCCAGAATAAAAAGTATGCAATGCTTAGAGTCAGAGTATCATAAGGAACTATGAACAATTTCCAACCCTACTTTAAGAAAAAGGTAGCGATGAAACTTCCACTCTACTTTGCTAGTAGTAAACAAGACGAATACAACAGCAAAGCATGCAATAAGAACTTAATGCTAAGGAAACAATTAACTCACCAATGTCCAGTGTTGAAAATGAGCACATCATAGAACCTGGTGACATTTACCCATTCATCAGCAGGAATGTCAACATCCACTCTGTAAGTTCCCTTTATTCCATCCTTGTGAAGCTCTTTGGAATTCTCTACAGGCTGCCACCTTCGTATCATTAGTTACCACCATGTGAGCTTTATGGTTTTATCATATGAAGCAAAGAAAGCACAACCTCATGCAGTATAAATGTCAAAATGCCATAGTCTTAAGTTCAACAATTGTAGATTTTAAGTTCTTGAAGGAAACAGCCAAAACACAAGAAGAACGGCATCAGAAACTGTCAATACATATCTACCATATGGTTATATAGTTAACAGCACAAAGTAGGATAACATATAACATATGTTTGAACATTATCAGAACAAATTTTACACAACAAATAGATCATAATGCTTGGGTATTTAAATACGGTAAATCGTAATTTCTTCATCACATTCTATGGATCTCCCTGCTTACTCACCCACAGTCTTATCTCTAAATCACTATTAGTGCAATGTGGATAATCTCATATTTTTCAGTCTGGCCTCCTCACCTCAAACCTATTAATCTATGAAAGAAAGATAACCAACGACATAAGTATTGACAGCATTCAGCAGACAACATCAGATACAATCACAGTATGACAGTAACCACACCACTGCAGAGTGCAGAGCACAGATACTAGCCATGTCAATGATACCAAAATCAAGCACAGGACATCCAAACAAACAAGATGGAACTGATCCATATTACAACAAAGGAATATATGTGACATCCATTTTTCTCCTGAGAATACATCCACTTCCTAGTTAGCATAGTGGTGTGAAATCACTGAATTACCAAGATCTTCCTGCAATTGCCTTTTTGGTATGGTATAAAAAAAATCATCTCTATCTCATGCATCCAATTCATAAGCATACAAAGAAAACTTAAATCTCTATAGAGTATAGACCGCATCACATTCAATGGAGAAAATTGCATATCTACCAATCTACCATCACTTACAGTCTTATCTCTAAAACATCAGTACTGATGCAATGTGGGTAAATCTCACCTCACCTAGCTACAATTCATCCCGATAAACACATACAAAGATTGCTCATATACACATCCTGTAGTCTAATCTAAAGATGTAATGGCAGTCTCTAACAAACCCGGAAATTAAAGCAGCACGATTTCAGCAGATAGCACTCACGTGTACTTGGCGAGGAGAACTGCGCGGTGGTACGCGACGATGACGTCATCCCTGGGGAAGTAGCCGCCGCGCCACGCGCCCCGCCGCTTCCACTTGCTCGCGCCGCCGTCCGCCGACCGGAGCGCGCACAGCAGCGCCACGACCAGGTTCTCCGACAGCGAGTCCCCCACGAGCCCGATCCGCCGCCCCCGGGCCACGGCCAGGAACTCCGCGGCGTCGATCCTCGGGACGGCGCCGCCGCCGCAGCGGGCGGGCGCCCAGGAGAGCGCGGCGACGGGTGGGCGGCTGTTGCGGGGGCAGTTCCAGGCGTTGCGGTGGAAGGGGCAGGAGGAGGTGTAGAGCGGCGGCGGCAAGGGCTCCCGGGTGGGGACCCAGCGGCCGGCGGTGGCGTCGGAGGGGGCGGCGCCGCAGGGGAGCGGCTGAGGCTGAGGCTGATGCGGCGGCGGCCGCGGGGGAGGGGGAGAGGGGAAGAGGAGGAAGAGGGTGAGGGTAATGGGGAGGAGGAGGAGTAGAGGGAGGCGGCGGCGCGGCATTTGGGGGAGAGACCCTCTCCCCGGCGATCGATCGCCGGCGGCGAGGCAGGAGAGCGAGACGGATACTGAGTGTGTTTCCACGCGAGGCCACTGCCCTGCCTGCCTTTAGCTTTCAGAGTTTTTTTTTTTTTGGCTTTTTTCAGATTCAGACTTCTTACTGTACTGTGCAAAGTTTAGATCATGGATTCATGGTATAGATGTTTTCAACATAAGAAATTTCCAAAAATTTGAAGAGAACAACTCATGGATCTGAAAAACTTGTAGCTCTACCACATGAGGACAGTTTCATGAATCAAAGGACTCTGAATAGAGATTTGTTCGGGTCCAACAAAAAGTATCTCGAGGTACTGGTACCTCACGGTACCAAATCATTTTCGATCGTTGGATCTAGCTGGGCTGGATATGCATTGTTAGATCCAACGATCGGAAACGATTTGGTATCGTGAGGTACCGATACCTCGAGATACTTTTTGTTGGACCGGAGCAAATCTCCTCTAAATATGTTTGGGAAAATTCAGACATTCATTCAGGAATTCAGCTACTCTGTACAGAAACTACAGATACAATCACGACCATGAACCAAAAAATATGCATACCCCTCGGTCTAAAAAAAACTCAATTCTAACTACAAACTTCGTAGCTAGATTTTTTTTTGGACAGTGTAATAGAGGATAACAAGCCAACAACAAAACAAATATATTCATAATGTAATGTTCTGTTACTACAGGTTAAAGGCAATTACGCAGAGCCTAATTTTACAGTTCAATTTCTGTGCAATGTCCATGCTAGTCAGATGCCAACAGCAAGATCAGTTTCTTTCTTTCAGAGCTGAGAATGCTCAACCCCCATCTCAGACAAGCGCGAAAGCAGCCTCCTCTCCAGCTTCACGCCGGCCAACTCCGCCTCCCTGATCAGCCTCCGGCACCTGCCCATCCTCCCCTCCGCCGCGTAGCCTCCGATCAGGCCGCCGTACATGTCGCCGGTCGGGACGAACCCGGCGTCCTTCATCCTCGCCAAGTACCGGACGCCCCTCTCGTGGTCGCGCAACGCCACGCACAGCTTCACCAGCACCCGGTACGCCGGCAGGTCGAGGAGGCCGCCGGCGTGCCGCTCCATCTCCCACGCCAGGGACAGCGCCTCCCGGTGCCGCCCGTCGCGGCACCGGCTGTGGATCACCGCCGTGTACATCACCACCGTGGGCCTCCCGCCGGTGTCCCTGAACCAGCCGAACAGGCTCTCCACGGCGGCGTACCGCCGGAGCTTCACGCACACCTTCATCACGGCCGTGCAGTCCTGCTGCCGAACGTGCAGCTCCGGCCTCTCGCCGAGCTCGTCCAGCAGCGCCGCGGCGAGCCCGTAGCCCTCAGGCGTACGGACGGCCTCCAGCATCAGCTTCACGTGGACGCTCGGGCTCAGTGTCCTCTTGTTGATCGTGGCGAACTCGAGGAGTTTTCGGGCAAGGCCTACTTTACCTGCCCTGATGAACCCACTGACCATGGCTTCAAGAACAGCACGGCTCGCTGAAGGGACGCACTGCTCTAGCGCATCCTCCATCTTCAGCTGGTCGAAGCGTGCCAAGACCTCAATTGTCGAAGCGAGAATCCGGTCGTCGGGGAAGAGTGGCACGACAGTCTGCCTCTGAGCCCAGCAAAGTGTCTGCAATGCCCTCTCTGGGAGCCCCATGTGCCCAAGCTCCCGAATGGTCATTGACAAGGATCCTTTCCGGAGGAACCGAACCCACCGATCGAGCACAATGGACACGTCAGACTCCGGTGGCAGCGCTGCAATCTCCCGGGCAATCCCAATGAGGACCTCCGGGTTCTTGCACACCTGGTCACTGAATGAAGAGCGTGAAGAAAGTGCAGCCCTTGCTGCCAGCCTGATATGCTGCTTTGGTGCAGGAGCATTGGGCAGTCGTGTCTTGTGAGGCAGTGGCAGCGGGAGAGGTCGCTGCCTCACCGGGTTTGGCGGCTTTGGTGGCTTCTGGCGCATCGGCCGGTCAAAGAGTGCCGAGATGGCATCAAGCTCATCTTTGCTCCACTCTACAGCCTCTTCCTCATCATCGTCCTCATCCTCAGAAGCAGAAGAATTCTCATGGTATGTCTGCTCATTGCGGTCCATTACCTCCAACTCCATGACAGAACCCCCATTCGATGGCTCTGTGCAAGAAATTCGACTTGTTGATGGGAGATTGCCATCTCTGCAGAGCCACCAAGCTCTGGTCTTCGCCGAGGCCGTGCAAATTCCATACAGTGCAGGGAGCGGCCGGTTAACCAGTGACATGCTTCCTGTTTTAAGATTAGGCAAAATGTTGTTACTTAGAACAATATTGATTCCAGATAGTAGCATGATAAAGCAAAAGGTTGCAAGTCAGCATGTATAATAAGCATAAATATACTACTAGTATGAATTAGAAGTTCATAAGAGCCTCTCTTATGTTCCCATCACAGCCACCTGCACAAATATAGAAGTTTGCCTCAAAAACTAACAGACAACATAAACTACTGGATTTAGCACGAGGGGTGTTTCTAATATGCAAACCAACAGTTAGGTCACAAAGTAGCGGGAGGATTTTGTTGTCCTTACTATTTGTATTTATAATTACAAAAAAACACTAATTGGTAAATTCCCAAGAACAACTTCCAACTCAGGTTTTCGGCTTAAAAGTTTCCTGAAATCAGGAATTTTCTAAACATGTACTGGACTTTCTTTTTGAGCAATTTCCAAATAAAATTTCAGTGCAAAAACAAATTCAGATTTCAGCTTAGCAAATCAGTGATTCCTACTCAGGATCAGAATTGTTTGACTTCGAAACAGAGATTTTATACTAAAAAAAATTATAGGGCTTTCAAATCAAGCCAGCTTTCCAATGTGAAATTTTTTACTTTTGCCTTGCAGGTTTCGGAAGCTTTGAAATTGCCATCATCCCCACCGGATTGCAAACATGTTTATAAGAGAGGCTCTTTGCTTTCGTTTGAACAGCGTGAAGGGAATTGTTCAGAACGAATTTGAGATGACTCGTTTCAACTGCAGTTGAACCCCAAATTCCAAAATGAAACGCAGAGAACAAAACATGCAATCAAGTTTCATGAAATTTCGCCAAAAAATACGAATTTTTCTATCCGCACGTTCCCATATCAACTCATGCAGTGTGTAACTTGACAGGTCAAGAATTCCTATGCATACAAATTAGAAGCACTTTGGGCATTCTATTCGCTCAGCAATACGCTTGAGAACAAACAGCACAAATGATGAATTAGAACAGCACTAATGATGGGAAATACACACACAATTAGGGAACCATGGGGGGAATTAGAGATTGCTTGGCAGAGACTGGATTTCACCTGTGCTTTGTCGCCAGATGGTTCTCTTCCCCCGCCCCGGCGAACGGCGCGAGCAAGCTCACTGGCTGGTATAGGTTGCTGACAGCTGCGCTCTCCCTGGCTGGTCTCTACTCTGCCACACGCAGCGGCTGCAGACTCCAGCGCGGCCTTTCTTCGCGCCGCTCTGAGCAGCCGAGTCGCCGGCGAGGCCGCCACGCGTGTGCGGCGGCGCCGACCTGGGCTCCTGGATGAGATGCCGTCAAAAAATGCAGAAATACAGTTCAAATCAGGGAGCAAAATGCAAAAAATATCCATATTGGGCCCTCGTGGCAAAATGTCGTATCACGGCCCAAAAAATATTGTCCTAGACTTGGGCCATTTGTTCGGCACACGGCCCACTTAGGCCCAACAAGTCACCCTCGTCGTCTTCTCCGATATTTAATTGTGCAGCTAATTCAGCTGGGAGTAGTAGCCTAGTAGGAGTATTAACTGATCGGCGATGACCTGACGAAGGCTGTGTTTAGTTTAGCGCAAAGTTTGAATTTTGGTTGAAATTGGAGATGATGTGACTGAAAAATGAAAAATTATGTGTGTATGATAAGTTGATGTGATAAAAAAGACTGAAGTTTGGATCCAAACTTTAAATCTAAACACAGCCGAAGAAGAAGACGACGGAAGCTAAGCTAGAATGTCACATCACGATGCGTGCTTGCTACTCACTGGGCTTGCCTGCCGTGCGCCGCCGTGTCACCAGCTGCCGGGCGATGGTGGAGGAGGAGGGCCTTGGCCTTGGACCAGGACGCGAGGAAGCGAAGCGGAGCTCGACGGCGGCCTCTGGGCCGGACTCGGCGACCAGGAGGAAGGAAGTTGGTGACGACGTGGAGTCTGCTCGCCGCTCACTGCCTGAGTCCGCCTCGGCGCCATGCTCGGCCGCGTTGCCCTCAGAGCCAGCTGCCAGCCGTCGCCGCCTTGAAGCGGATGGAGGGATATGTATTAGGTTAGGGTTTTTGTTGTTGTTGATGTGTGTGTCTATATATATATATATATATATATATATATATATATATATATATATATATGTATATATACATATGTATATATATGTATATGTATGTATATATATATATGTATGTATGTATGTATGTAGGGATGGCAATTTTACCCATGTGTCCGGGGTATTCATGTGGACACGTCCGTCCGAAACCGAAAGCGCAGTGGGCAAAAATTGGGAATCAATTTTTACCAACGGGTAACCCATGCCTGGCCCAATAGTTTTGACACAAGCAAACTTCTTGTCACCGACGATAATTACTAGGTCGGTTTTTTCTTGGACATTAATTAAGATAAGGCTCGCATAGCCCGTTATCAACGTCGCAACATGTGCAATATATATACTCTAGGTATTTTTTTTCTTGGAAATTAATTGAGATTAAGCTCACATAGCCAGTCATCAACGTCGCGACATGTGCAATATATATACTCTAGATATTATATCATTACACATATGGTTCTACCGAGCCTAACCTTACTAGAAATTACGTTGAGTATTTCGGCTTAGTAGCAATGGTACATTTTTTTTATAGAGCTCTTACTAAATTCTATATGCAGGCAATACTAGTTAATGTTTTCGATTTTGGGTCCAACTAAAATATGATGAAGATAATAAGCTCCTACATTTTGCATTTAAAGACAACGGTTTTATAAATTTTTATCAACCTATAGATGAAGATTTAGCAGTAAAATTATTAGTTGCCGAATATGTTTTTTTCCGGCGTCTATCTTTTCATCATACTTTTTTTTATCATTTGCATTTAGTTTATCAAAGAATTTTGTAATAAGCGGCTATAACTTCTATTGGGGTTGTTTGACAAGCGGTTTTACTGTTGCTGCAGTCGATTGCTGCCCTGTCCTGGCACGGCCCAAGATATAATCCTACAGACTGGACCCACTTCTCGCCAAATCGGCCCACTTAGGCCCACTCATTTCTTTCCTCTTCTTCCTCCTCAGTACCGACATTATTATTGAGCGTCACTCGTACGCTCCCTTTGCTTGTCGTCCTTCTCGTCTTCGTCTTCTTCTCCAATCGATTTAATTAATTAATTATCAAGCCATTAACTGATCGAGGATGACCTGACGATGAAGAAGAAGACGGAAGCTAATTAAGGCTTTGTTTAGATCTAAACTTCAGTCTTTTTTATCATATTAAACTGTCATGTACATATAACTTTTCAATCACATCATCTCCAATTTCAAAAGTAGCCAGCCCTCAGCAAGAAGGTCACATCACGATGCATACCTGGTCAAAGTCAAACCAAAGATGGATAACACAGTACCGCTCCCTCCATTTCATTTTATATCGGAAGTCGTTTGATTTTTTTCTTATTAATCAAGCTTTATTAAATTTGATCATGTTTATTGAAAAATTTAGCAACATCTAAAATATTAAATTAGTTATATTTTGATAATATATTTGTTTTGTGTTAAAAAATATTACTATATTTTCTATAAATTTAGTCAAACTTAAATAAATTTGGCTGAGAGAAAAGTCAAACGACTTGTAATATAAAATAGATGGAATAGTAACTAAAACTAATTAATTCCAAAAGGTTAATTAGCACGGTTAATCACCGGATTAATGAAGAAGGAAGATACAGAGGCAGTGACAGTTAATAGCAATTAATCTCCACTTCAATGCGTATACATAATGCACAGACATGTTGACGATTTCCATGGTTTTGACCTCTGGTATAAATCCTAACTCCTTGTCGCTGACGAGGTAATTGTTCTTGGATATTAGTTGATAATTAAGATTAAGATCGCATAGCCAGTCATCGACACAGCATGTGCAACATCTACAAAATACTAGTAATTCAGTACACACACAATCATGACACCAAAAACCTAACCTTACGAGTATTATACAATTAAGAACTCATTTTCTTTCTTTAATTAATCTTGATCACTTTAGCTCGATCGATCCCAGCATCATCAATCTGCATGCGTAAGCAGCGTTGCTGACGACATATATAAATTAGCTTAGATTAGCTAAGTTGAAACGCAAATGTACCTACCAGTCCACCACTCATCCATCAGGCTGCACCCAATGTCTGAATCAAACAGTACTTTTTTTTTTTCATTTCCAAGTTGCTGGTTGGTTGATTGACTTTGACTGACACGTAAGTGATCGCAATGGGTTTAAGAAATTCAAGCCACTGATCACACGGCAGGACACGTTTTCACCACACAAATTCACTCTCTCAATCTCTGAATTAATGAGCTGTATAATCAGATGTAACAGTTTTTCTTCTAACAGCTGGAGCTAGTAGTAATTAACTGCTCTGCCGTTTGTCTTGAGCTAGCTGGCCTTCTCGTCAGATTCTGATTAGTTAGTTCCAAGTATGGGGTGTAAAGTTTCAGTTTGTCACATCAAATATTAATTATATTATATAGGGTGTCGCATAAGGTGTTTAGGCACTAAAAAAACTAATTACAGACTTCGTTAGTAAACTGAGAGACAAATTTATTAAGCCTAATTAATATGTTATTAGCAAATATTTACTGTAGCACCATATTATCAAATCATGGAGCAATTAGGCTCAAAAGATTCGTCACGCAAATTAGACGCAATCTGTATAATTAGTTATTTTTAGCCTATATTTCATACTTTATGCAGGTGTTCAAACGTTCGATATGATAGGTGTAAAATTTTTGCGTGGGATGTAAAAGGGCCTAAATCGATTCTTGCAGCTAATTTACAACTAATAAACTGTTACTTCTTGATTGTTTCTGCAGGAGAAGGAACAGGAGACACGTAGCTGCGCATGCAGATACGACGACTAGTTCTTCTTGGATAGTAATCCAAAGGGGGAGTATGTAAAATTAGTTTTGTTCCTGGAATCTTGGCGCATTTCAAATTGAATACAGTTTGAATATTTTAAAACACAAAGTGATTCGGATTGTGATTGATTCCATGCGCCAACTGATGAACACTAGCAGTTCTTAAGCTTGACGGTTTTGTTTAAATTTGTGTACCCCTAGCCCCAATAGAATTAGACTTCAAGCTGTATTAATTCAAACTGGAATGCGCCAAGATATATAACATGAACTCTGTTTGGCTGTTGTGCTTGCGCTAGTGTGCTTTTAACTTTTAATTGTGTTGATCAATTGTCTCACCAACTATATTGTTGTACCTTTATTATTGCCTCCGTTCCTTTTCAATTGATACAGTTGACTGGTATGAAATCCTTTAAATTGTAGTGTTTTAATAAACATCTTTCTAAGTGTTTGTAATTTTTCTAGAAGTCAAGCGGTCAAAGGTCATACATAAATAGTACTTCACTCATCTCATATATATATATATATATACAAGGCACCATCATTTATTTTTCGATATTTCATAATATAAGACATATATGCATGTATGCAAGGAAGCACCTACCACCCATCTTTAATTCACTTTTTAAAACCCTACATTATCAAAATATTTTTTTTGTGGGATACATTATCAAAATATTTAATTCCATTAGATGCATGCATTTTATTCGTTAGTCATCCAAACGAAGAGGTGATAATAGTTATATTTTTTGTCTTTATGTAAGTGATGCATATTATATTTTTTTCTAATATAATTATTTTTTCTTAATTAATAATTTTTTTCGGCCGGCAATGTTCAGCCGGCGCTGCGAAAATAATTTAAAAATGGGTTACTTCAGTACTCCTACATGTTGTCCGTAGGAGCAGGATTCAAGAGCCACGTAGCTGCACATGAATATACGCCAGATGTGCATGTGTGTGATTATAAATTTTTTTAACAGGAGTACAGCTTTATTCCTGATATGTTGGCGCATTTCGATTTTAACTAATAGAAGATTAGGGCTTGTTTGGTTCGATGTCAATTTTTACCCTACTAAGCTTTTAGTAAGTTTAATAGTGGCAAATACATATTTAGTTTGGTACCAAATTTTCATACGATGGTTCAAATTTAATACTGTTAATATTTTGGTAGCGTAAAAACTTGTCAGTACAGTCTAAGATTAAAAATTGGCTCCAAACCGAATAAACCCATAATATAATTACAGTACAGTCCAAAACTCAACCTTCAATTTTTTTTTGGGGAAACCTTCAATTGATTATAGCCTTTTTTTTATTATAGCTTTTTTTTCTAGGTATGGATTTTCTCTCAACAAAACGCGGTGTTTTGATCAAGTAAACATCATAATAATTTGGTCTATGCCCTAATTGAAATCGATCGCTGTCTGCGAATAAAATCAAGTCGACTGGATCGATATCATGCATTGTTAACTGTTAAGTGAAGTCCAAGTAACGTACTTAGGACAATCTCATCTGCTGCCTCCTTTATCAGTTTATGGCCAGGCTGGATGCCTGGATCCATATATATGTGCATGCATGCACAGTGATACAGAAACATGCATGGTCAAAGATAAAATCAGACCGTGTTAATTAATTTGCGATGTCATCATTAAAGAACAATTGGTTTAGACGCATTCGCTGCAGCACGTGTTTGACATTCTGCAGATGTTCAGTGTAGCTATCTGTATCCAACTATTTATTGGTTGAGTACGTTCCTTTCCCCCAAAATTTGCAGGTAATTTCAGTTAATATAATCCACAACGTGTGATATACTACTTAAGAGATATGTCACTGTTATGACCTTCCAAAAAAAAACCAGGAGACTATGGATTTTCAACTAGTGTTGGAGTTTCAGCTGAACATGGAATGCCATTTTTATCATCTTCTAATGATACTGTACATCAAATGAAGATTTTTTGTGTTCTTCATGCGTGTTGTAGCTTCTAGAAGTTCAGTCTAAAATATCCTTTATCTCGTGTGTTTAACTGCTCATATAAATTATATAATATACCCAAAACCCAACCATGCGCGTACATATATACTCAGGGGAGGAAATTAATTAGAAGACCTTAAAAATATCAGAAATCAGAAAGCCCGTTGATCACTTCAGTTGACTGCATTTTTTTTTCATAAACATGTGCTGGTGCTGTTGTTTTGAGTTGACCCAGTGCTATAATTCTACAATTAACTGCCGTCCTGTTAATTGCCCCCACCGAAGTCTAAAACCTTCCAAAACACTATGGCACTGCTACACTACTATCTTCCTTTTAAAATATATAAAGATATTAAATTTTAGACATTATATTTGACAATTCATCTTTAAAATATATAGTGCAAATATGCCATATAGTTTTTGATAAGTCGAATGAACAAATGTCTTGCTAAAAACTAATAATGTCATAATATATTTAAAAATGGAGGTAATAGTTGTAATTTATTCACCATGAAACCAATTAGTTGTGCCTAAACGATGAATTCAGCTATACCTGACTAGTTGCAGTCAGATAGATGTGTGTGTGAAAGCAAACAGCAGGACCTTCCCAATTTTCTTGTCCTGCCTGTCGCATGGCCACAATTTGGTCAGCAAAACACAATAGATATATAGATCAATTTTGACAATCTAACATCTAATTACTATTTACTTTAGCTTGGTTGGCAATTAATCGTTCTGAGTAGTGTTGGTGTGTATCGCTTTCCTTAATTTCCTCCACTGTTTTTTTCCCTGAAAGCTACTACTGGTTTCTTTGATGTATCCTTCAGATAGCCGGCCGGCTTTCCAATGATGCTGCCTAATTACTCTGGTCTTTGTTCGACAAACTAAGCAAGCGTATGCAGCATGTCTCATCTGGTTGCTGAAATTAAGTATATTAATCTTCGTTTTCAAGATTCTAAATTTCCTAGTAACTTCTTCTTTCCAACAAGAAAACAAAAGGAGCATAGTAGTGTACGCCTCAGATAGACAATCTGATGATTTTTTGACTTCAGAGAAGCAACTGAGAACTTCAGATATGGTTCTTCAACCTTTTGCTTTATCGCTTTTCTGATTTTCTTTTTCACCTTTCATTTTAGTCTTCCATCTTAGTAGCATATTGTCAGAAATCATTGCTTCTGCATATAAATATCAAGGCCTAATTAACCTACCTTCCGAGGATGAGAAAATCCAGTGAAAATGACAGCTTCCTACATTTCTTTAGGCACTGCAATTGCGAAAGTAGATTTATTTCTGTGCATAAAGTGAAAAGTGAAAAAAAAGGGAAAAGTTGGCATTTTCTCAGCACTACCATGGCATCTACCTGTAATCCATCAGTACTTAAGCAAGTAAGCATGCTGATGCGATTTGTGGCCTTTCTGCAAGTAGCTCGTGGTTTTGTCAACCCAACAATCGATTCGGAAAAAAAAATGCTAAAATGTCAAGTATGTCGAAATGTTTTGTCAACCCCACAATCGATTCAGAAATTACTATCAGATTTCTTTTCGCACTTCATATGTTCCATCATTCTTTTCTTATATACTCCCTCCATCCCACAATTTGTTTAGAATATACTATTAAGGTTTAATACAAAAGTCTATAATACCCCTTATTAAATAATATATGATGAGAAGTGGAATGGTTATTGAGGGTAAAATAGGAAAACTTTTGACAAGTATTCTGGGATGGAGGTAGTACTTATCATCGTAAAAATCATGCACATAAATATATAGATCAATGGAGCACTTTTGCAAGTTGTCACTTTTAGGGTAAGTCAACATTAAGTATCAGCTATTATATATCTGTATTGCAGGTGATAGAGCACTCACTCTAGTTTGCTAGTTGCCAAAAACATGCATTTTGTGCAACACATATAGAAGCATTATTTTTCTTGTGATGAATGGGATTTAGTGCTTCCATCACTTCAACTTTTATTTAAAGGAAATCTTCATCATTTAAGGAATAGCTTTTGAGTTGAATGGGCTAGCTTGGATCAACCAGTAAAAAAAATTAAAATATTCTCCACTTTTGCTGTCAGTCAATTTTCTCAGTCGTTATCAAGGATATTTTTTTTAGATAATCGTTATCAAGGATATGGGCTCATGAATGCTAGTTTTTGTTGCACTCATGCAAACATTAGGATGAACAGTCACATGTAAGGAATTCTGTACTGTGTCCCTTTTTTTCCCTGTTGTAACAACTTTTTTTTTTGAGAAACCCCTGTTGTAATAACTTTGATCGGCAGGAAACCGTACAAATCCTGAAGAGAGTTTTTTTCTTCAACCAAAGATTGGAATTCTCATACACCAATTTTGAACCGGCAAACCTGATAAATTAGCGGACCACGGAGTAATATTTGCTTTGCATCATGGCTATCAAATATTTCCTGATATTATATTGTTTTGAACAATAAAGTGGAAGAGCTCTCTGACAAAAAAATATGTGATAAAAACAAGATTAGTAGAAATTAGTGACATAATAAAAATACAATCACCAGTCTTTTGTTTGTATACCATCCAAGTGCCCTTTTTTCAGAACGTTATCATCCTCTTTATAGCACGGAGTTGAATCTCTTTCAATTGACTTGATAAGGCTTGCACCCATTTTAATGGTATCCTAGTAGGAAGCTAAGTCAAAAGTTGTACTTTATTAGAGCAAAAGTCCATAATTAAATCCTCTTTCAAGTTTCAACAATATGAATGCGAATACATGAGCAAGAAATGAGAACCATAGTTCTTTTTGGTTCATGATGGAAACATGCATGGTTTTAGATTTGTCTATACTCTTGGACCAACAGGGTCACAGTACTTCACTTTGACACTTCTGATAAAATCAACAAAATGCAATACTTTGACATAGTCTAGCACCACATCCACACCAAGGACAAGGAGTGCTACTATTGTCAATTTCAAAGATCTCATGCATCAGTCCATCTCCTGATTAATCACTGTCCTGCTCCATAAAAAGGACTGTTGCAAGAACAATAAATCATCTATTCCATTTATACATAAAATAAATCTATTATAAAGGGAGCCCTGGTTAGCTTGCCTGGTCAAACAAACCACCAGCATAGATAGTGCCTTGGAGCCTTGGACCAATTCCAGGCACATCCCAACAAACCAAAGTCGTTAACAATTGTCTTCTTCTATAAACATTGTTGTTTTTTTTAAACACCTGTAATGAAATCATTATCCCTTTTATTTGAATTATTTTTCTTTCAGAATATCAAAGTAGACCCAATATTCTTGTAATCACTTCTTTTGGAATGATGCTCCTTTATAAGCTAAGCTTTCTAACCATATTTAATAGTTCGTATATTCTTATATTTACATGCCTATGAAAACTGTATTTTACTTTTATGCATAAGTAAAAAAAAGTATTTTTAGAGAAAATGAAATTCTTTTATTGTATACATACACTATTCATGAAAGGACAACGAATTGAACCTAGGCTGTGTTTAGTTTGCCCAAATTCTCAACTTTCCATCACATCATATCCCATCGAAAATTTTTCTACACACATAAACTACCAACTTTCTCTCAACTTCCCAACTTTTCCACCATCTAAACACAGCCCTACTTATATTCGCATACATATATATTTTTAGGGCAAAAATACTGTTAACAATGAAAAATTGCCAATACAGGTAGTAGTATTACTCTAATAAATACATGGAAAGTTGTAAAGAAATTTGCATTTGGAAGGAAAGGTGAGAGCTGAATTCAGTCAGAGATAGGCCAGCCACATGCAGAAAGAAACCGGAGACTTTTTTTTTTTTGCAGCTTCTTCTCCTCCTCTTCCTCCATGAGCTCTGCAGTCTGCTTACTTATAATCCCCCCTTGACTTGCCATTCCCCTCCCCCTACTCTTCTTCCTCCTCCCTTTCTTGGCCTCTCTCCTCCACAACCCACCCTTCCTTCCTCCCTTCCTCCCCTTGGTGCGTTCTTGATTGCTGCAGAGAGGGAAAGAGAGAGAGAGAGGGAGAGATGGGGAACATCTGTGGTGGTTCAGGGAAGGCTCATGTATCGGGGGATTGCAGGCCGCCTAGCTCAGGTGAGATTCTGTCCGCTTCAAGAACTCGGTTTCTTTCCTCTTCTTTATTTGCGATCCTATAAGTTGGGCCTGTCCTGGGTGAAGATTTCTTGGTTTCTGATCGAGCGTTTGGTCTTTTCTCTCAAGTCTGATCAATACACTTGAGGTTTCTGAGGGGCGGAAATAAAGTTTTTTTTTTTAAAAAATAATCTCAGTTATTCTAGCTCAAGATCATGTTTAGGGGCGGTAGCTGTAAGAGAATCAGGGCAACTTGTTAAGTTTTCCAAGTTCTAAGTTTTTTTTTTTGTTTTTACATAATCAGTGCTGACATGGTAGCAGAGACTAGAGAAGGAATTAAACGAATTACTGTGACTAACACTTAGTTGTTTAAGATCAATACTTTCTTAGTTTTCTTCTTCAAATTTACATCTTTAATTAGCAGGTTAGAATTTATCACCAAAAAGTAGTTTCCCCCCTTTCCTGAATCACACAGGCTTCATCAACAATATAACCCCTCGTGCAATCCTAACTATTACCTTAGTAAATGGGGAAAAAAGGACTCCAACTTTGGCTGAATTCTCCATTTTTCTCCACATATTTCTGTCATAGCCAAACTTACTGCAAGAAGGTAACGTGAGCTGTTTGTTCTACAGGGACAATGACCCCCAAAACAAGCAGCAGCGTCACAACCAGCAATAGCACAACTGGGAAGCTCTCCTCTGTTGGCAGCAGCTTCATGGCGTCTTCCGGAAGCGGCGGCACGAGCAGCGGATTCGACGACGGGGTGTACCCAGAGGGCCAGATCCTGGAGGCACCAAACCTCAGGACATTCACATTCATTGAGCTCAGGACAGCCACCAAGAACTTCAGGCCGGATAGTGTTCTTGGGGAGGGAGGCTTTGGGAGGGTGTACAAAGGATGGGTGGATGAGAAGACGATGAACCCGGTGAAGGGCGGCACCGGCATGGTTGTTGCTGTCAAGAAGCTCAACTCAGAGAGCATGCAAGGTTATGAGGAATGGCAGGTAAAAATCAGGTTCTTTGTTTAGAAAGAAAGAAAAGAAATACTTGAATTGCAGGATGCCAAGTTGGTTAGCATGAGCATAGGAATCTTGCATGCTTATGGGGTTTGACTTTAGTTTTGATTACTGCTGTATAATAAACTTAACAAGTTAGAGGATGGGATCACTTTCTGGCATTGCACCATTAATGGACAGATAAAAAATGCACCAAACTTTTGAAGTTTCTCCTCATGGTCATCTCATGCTTATGGTTCTTTATGTTTGTTTAGCTTCTGATGACTTGGCTGTCTGTTTTATAAGCTGCAATGTCAATTCTTTAATAGGCCTATGTAATCTGGGTAGTGCCAAACGGCCAATAGCCCAATGCTGACCAGAACCATATTAATGTTATAATACTAGACTCTTCATAATTCCTGACCAGAAGCATCCTATAAACCACATGTTTATCACAATGCAGTGTTTCTCTGGGTCAGTTTTGGTATTCCAGGCAAAATATTACAGCTACCTCCCACATGCCTTTGCAAACTTTAACAAGATATACTACTCAATTAACTTAGTTTACTCTAACAGATGCGATTTTTTTGTCAACATTAATAACATCTAATCATATTTCTCAATGTGTACCCTGCAGTCAGAGATAAACTTTCTGGGTAGGCTCTCGCATCCAAACCTAGTCAAGCTCTTGGGCTACTGCTTTGAGGACAAGGAACTTTTGCTCGTGTATGAATTCATGGCCAAAGGGAGCTTGGAGAACCATCTTTTCAAGAGTGAGTTCTTATTGGTTTGTTGCTAATCATTTCCATCATCTTATTTATATCATGAATGAAGTTCTCTTAGGCATTTCACTGAAAATTTGGGGTGATTACCTTGCTCATGCACACTGTATTTCTTTCCCCCTGCAATACTTTGTCTTCTGGAGTAGAAAATTCTAAATCTGCAAACATATAAGTGCATGATGTGAGAATATCTCGGGGCAGTTACTTGACTTGATTGAGAGGTATACTGATGATGAAACTGGCCGCATCTCTTTTCAGAAGGATGTCCTCCACTATCATGGGAACTGAGGCTGAAGATAGCCATTGGTGCAGCTCGAGGACTTGCGTTCCTGCATGCCTCAGAAAAACAAGTCATCTACCGTGACTTTAAGGCTTCCAACATTCTTCTAGATGCTGTAAGCTTTCTGCTATTTAATGTGCCTGCAACCTTCTCATTATTGAGTTCAAATGCTGATGGTGTTCTTTGGCAGAACTATAATGCAAAGCTCTCTGATTTTGGGCTTGCTAAGCTTGGACCAACTGGTAGCAACTCACATATCACAACAAGGGTCATGGGCACATATGGTTATGCAGCACCGGAGTATGTAGCCACTGGTATGTGTCCTTACGCCTACCCTGCAGTTAATTATCAACACTTAACACTGCATGTGATAGTCATAGTACAGCTGAAATAGCAATATGTGTGGAATTTGACCTCTCAGTCTTCATATGTTCCCAAATTTAGCGTTTTTGATTGTCAATCATGTCACTTACATTTTTGGATGCATGCTATATCTCCTCCTTCTGTCCAATGATAAAATTCGGAATTTTAGCTAACAGACAATATAAATAGTCCATGGATGTTGAATAGAAGTCAAGTGTGAAAATGAATATTGCCTAACTAGAAAGGAAGCAATACCAAGTCATTGAATATATAGAATAGTGGGTATGCACTAGCTAAGTCCAGAGTCTAGACATGTATACGCATGTGACTGTAGGGCTCCATCTTGGACAGATATGGATGAGTAACATGAGTTAGCACCTACTGCCATCCAAGTGGATGATCCATCTTAGGAAAATGTGTGCTAACAATCCTTTTTATGTACGGATATTCGCCTAATGTCACTTTCCACTCAAAAAAAAGTTGACACAGTGCGCACCCAACTTTCCTCAACTCGTACCATTAATATTTCAGAGTTACTAGTTAGTTTTGCATCCCACATGAAATTCAGAATTCAAGTTTCTATAATACATTGTCAAATTATTATTAGCTCTGAAGTACAGTTTACTATCTGTAGATACTTTCTTAGCTGCCGGTGGTTATTTTCGCTTTCTCACTATCTGCTCTACTAAATCATGACTAGGTCATTTATATGTCAAGAGTGATGTTTACGGTTTCGGAGTTGTGATGCTGGAGATGATGTCCGGTCAGCGAGCACTAGACCCCAACCGTCCTAATGGGCAGCTCAGCCTTGTGGACTGGGCGAAGCCCTACTTGGCGGACCGGAGAAAGCTTGCCCGCCTCATGGACCCCCGGTTTGAGGGCCAGTATAACTCCAAACAAGCTGTTCAGGCGGCGCAGTTGACGTTAAATTGCCTGGCAGGTGAGCCCAGGAGCAGGCCCTCAATGAAGGAAGTTCTTGAGACACTCGAAAGGATCGAATCAATGAAGAGCCGAGCAAGGGATGCAAGAGGAAGCGGTTCATCAAGGGACCATAGCCATGGTCGCACCACAGCGCACCAACGGTCATCGCCGCGCCCTGATGGTCGCCGTGGATCAAGGACCAATGGTCACGCCACGAAGGCACGGTGATAAACAGCATTGGAGCTGATGACATTCTTCCTGTAAATGGCCTAAATTTTGTCTGATGTTCAGTTGGAGATGGTGATGTTTATTTGTTGCTATATCATGAAAGAAGGCCCTTGTTGCCCAATCATGATGAGTGTAAAATGTAGCAACAAGAAAGATATAACTGTAATTTGTAACCACTAGAAATAGAAGGAATAATTCTTGAAATGGCTTGCTCAAAATAGCTTCCCCGCTGTGTTCAATTTTGTGGGTCTTGCAACCGGAGCTTGACTGCATAAGTGTGAACATTAGACTGCATCATAGTGAGTAAACCTTGCTACTTGGTAGAAATTTTGGCCAGTTGTGTGTGATAAGAAATCATTTCTTGAGCAAATTTGCCGATTTTTGAAAAGTGACAAGCAGCCCTTGTAACAAAACCAAGGCAGTAGTATCTTCAGAATTCAGCAATTATGTTTTTCCGGAGGGCTAAATATGGCAGCCCATATACTCTCTGATTGATGTGAGTTGTGATCCTGCTCTTTTTTCTAATGACAAGTTCCAAATTTCCAACAGCTAGAAGTATGAATATGCAATGAATTACTTTGCACAAAATGAATACAGAGAGGGAATTATTGTGGCCATAAAATACTGGGAAATGTCAAAAGCACTAAAATACCAAAATTCCATTCCATGGAATGGAATATATGCATACGTGTTGACCTGTCAGTGTTATGACAGGCTGTTCATCCTGACTTGTGTGTGGCCGCCGCCCATTTTGACGTCAAAAGCAACCTCCATTTCTCTCATGTCTCCGGCCAACCGACCAAACATCCATCCTTCCTTCCGTCCAGCTCCAGCCATTGTTGATTGCTGGACACAGCCCTTGCTTATCTTTGATGAGAAATTTAACGATATCCCTTAAAGTTTTTTTGGTCCAAAGAAACTACACAAGAACAGGGCAGAATCTTTGTACGGCCTCCAAGAAATGCACTAACAGAGAAAGAATCATCACGATGCAGTGTCTCAGTTCAGGGCTCTCTGAATCATCTGCATTCAGAAGTCGCTCAAATATAAAAGTGTAGAGTCCTTCATTTTCTTTAAAAAAAATAATCAGTTTCCACGTAGAGTTAAGAAACTGGAACTGTCTAGACATCTCTCGTATGATTTTTTGGTATGCAAATATGAGAAGAAGAAAATGCAGCCTTGAAGAAGCTGGCCCAATCCAAAGCTCCAGCCCGATATAGAATGAAACCATGAGCGCAGCATAGGACGAAACCACTATCCAAAACAGTGACTTGATTTGCTCCGGTCTTGAAGATGGGGATGCGTTATACCGGTTTTGCGGTTGAGGGATATGATTCAATCAATAGAAGAGTTGAAGGAGGTAAAATAGACTTATTTCATAAATAAATAAGGCTAGAGACGGCCCAATACACTAACTTCACTAAATGAATTTTTTTCGTTTTTAGATTTTATTTTTAATATTTACAGAAATAATCTATCGACCAAAAAAATTGCAGAAATAGCCCCTGCCGCCCTAATGGTGGGCGGCAAGCTGACGTGGCAGACGGTGGGTCAACCGCGCCGTCTGCCGCCGTCGGCCAAAATTGCGATTAGGCCCTTGCCGCCCGTACAGAGGGCGGCAAGGGGCTAATTGCAATTTTGGCCGCCCATAAAGAGCTTGCGGCCGTACTTTTTCATCTGGGTCCCTTGCCGGGCCAAAAGATTTTTCTATGTTATGTTAATAATAAATAAAGAAGTATTTATTGGTAAAACTTGTTAATATTGTTATAAAAATGTATTGAAGTTGGTTGTTGCGTAATTTCATATGTTAAGTGAGGTATTATTTTGTACCTTATTCGACGTATTAGTACTCGGATAATTTATATAGGCCTATCACAGTCTGGGTCGTAGAAACATTATATGGACTTAAACAAGGAGAATTATATAACATGAAGAAATAGTAGTACAATTTGAACATGATACAAGTATTTGCATTGCGGTTACATAGATGATATTAGATTCGAACTAGGAGGGAGGTAGTGCAATAGTTGAACACAACGACGATGTAGTAATGGGACAAGGAAGCATGACAGTAGAAATTTCAATATGCCAAGTTGTCCGATAATAGCTAACCCCTACGTGAGGATCCCTCTTCTTTCTCAAACCGCGCCCCTACGTGAGGATCCCTCTTCTTTCTCAAACCGCGCTTTAGTAACACTGTATTGCTCTGGTAGTTCAAGCTGCATAACACGGCTAGGTGGAGTTAGAACCCTTCTGGTGTCTATCCATTCTCTGTATTGACATCTCCTTGGTGGTTCCTGGGAGAAAAGAATAGATGTAAAGCAAGCAAAGTTAGTAAATGTTGTGAGAAAATAAGGATTCATGTAATCAAAATATTCTTACCATGAAATCGTCGTCAAGAATATTTGGACAAACAAAGAACCTTCGACCCAATGTTGTAGGATTTATGGAATGAAGAACCTGACAACGATCACCACACCTGCATCTTGGACGGGCTTCCCATGGAGGGAGTGCCGTAGTTAGCACCCGCCAGTCGCTCTGTAGTTCACGACATTGTCGTTCATAAGCCGCTTTTCTCTGTAAGTATTGCTCAGTACTTTCGGATGCGAAATACCAGCGACTTTCTTGTAAACAAGTGGTTAGGTCGAGAATGGGATTTTCTGTATCGACCCACTCGATGTATGCGCAAGCCGTAGTGCAGGTCTGCCGAATAGAGTAGTGTTACGAAGAATAAAGCGATTGCCCATACGGAATGAATAAGCATATGCAGATAATAAAATACCTCACGGTCATAGTTAGGGCACCTAAAAAAGCGCCTTCCTCGAATATCAGGATTCCTCGAAGCCATTAGTTGGCATCGATCACCGCATAGGCAGAGAGGACGCTGGCACCAAGGTGGTAGTAGGTATACACAAGGATCGCAACGCCAGTTTGGATCCTCAACACCTCGGCGTCTAGCCATTGACGAAAGCCGGTCGAATTTGTAATGAAGCAAGTGGGGAAGAGAGTACTGAATGTGACTGAGTTCTGAAGGAGTCGTGAACCGTGAGTAGCTCACCGCACGTCCATGCCCGGAACGTCCCAAGCTGAGCCCCCTGCACCGCAGTAAGGTGAGACCGGTGTCGGTGATCTATTGCCGGGTCCAACAACTGAGGTGTATCCTGACGTGCCATCTCTGAAAAATATAGTGTTTCGTATTAGAACAATTCAAAAAATAGTACTGTAAAACAAAAGATAACTTGCAAAATTATGAAATAGTAATAAAATCATGAGATTAATTATGTACAACAAGAGTACAGGCTATTTAAATATAGCAAACGTTACTAATGGTACATAACGATGACGTGCAATTTAACATATATGTAGAGTTCAATAATATAACATAACATTACGTGTCGAAGTTCGACATACATCAGCATACCTAAAGACGTTAGGCGCCTTAGTCCGACGTTACATCACGAGACCTAAAGACATGACATGCCGAAGTCTGACATTACACGACGAAACATAAACACATCGATAAGTTCGAAACGAATTACAAGCAAATCCACATGCCGACATAGAACATAAGAACTACACCACGTAGCCAGACGTGGCACGACGACGCCTAGGACGTGGTCGAGTGGAGGTAGTGCCTTCACCCGTAGGGCGAGCTCCATCTGCTGCTGATCCTGATAGTCCTGCCTCCGCCACACTTGGTTTCTCCTTGTCTTTAGGACAATGCTTGTAAGTGTGCCCATGTTCATCGCATTTGCTGCAACGCTTCACCCTGCCAGCCTCCGACTCGTCCATATCGTTGCGGATGCGACGAGTCCTCCTCCTTCCAGCCTTGCCTCGGAGCTTCGATGGGTCAGGAATATTGAGTACTTCATCGTTAGTCTCTGTGAACTCCCCAGCTATGCCGAACCCATAAATCTCGCCGCTCCATGTATGATATATTGCTTGCTTACTGAAGTACTGTGACACATATACTGCATCTGGTATGCCACACTCCGCTGCGGCAGCAATGACATGGGTGCATGGCCTGTGGAGCAGCTTCGGCTTTGCACAAGAGCAATGACATGTGCCGTCGGCTTTGAGAACACACTCCTGCTTCACTCTCTTGCGGTAGATACCCCTGCCTGCCTTATCTTGACATAGTATCTCAAACCTGTGCTGTTGGGTACCTTGCACTAGAGCTCGATGTTTCATGGCCTTTTTACGCAACTCCTCTAGCTTTTTCTGCATGAAAGCTCCAAACAAAATGCTGTTGTTCGGCATAGAGGGAAGAACTGCCTAGAACCGATCCCTAAAATACCTGCATGTCTCATGTAAAATGAACTCCACTATGCCAACTAGTGGTAGTCCACGGACACCGCGCATCACCCAGTTGTAAACTTCTGCCAAATTTGTTGTCATTATTCCATATCTAGCACCACCTGTGTCATACGCCTTGGCCCATTTCTCTTTTGGTTCATGCAGAATCCACTGAGAAAATTTCCGAATCTCCAATCCAGTTCTTCTAACCAATGTTGGACTATCCGTTGGGAGAGGTCCAAGAGCTTGAGGAGGGTCAGCAACGGCGGTCGATGGAGCCGCTGCACGCTGATCACTGCATTTGGCTGTCAACTCATCTAATCTCTTCCAAAGCTCATTGAATTTTTTCTCCTGGTTCTGATTGCACAGCCTCTTGAACATGTTCATGAGCTCCTTGTTCTTGAATTGCTTGAAGAAATTAGCTCCCATATGACGCATGCACCACCTACTCTGTACATCTTCCCAAACACCGGGGTATCCTCGTTCCATACTCCCAAACTGCAACTCTCCTATCGCTCGCAGAATGCCAGCGTGCCTATCATGTATCAGGCATACATTTGGCCTCATACCAACAACTTTTGTTTTAACCAATTTCAGGAACCAGTACCAGCTGTCGGTATTCTCACTCTCAACAAAAGCAAATGCCAAGGGCAATACCTGATTGTTCCCATCTACCCCTATTGCTGTTAGTATCTGGCCCCGATACTTTCCTGTCAAGAATGTCCCATCAATGCAGAGAACAGGACGACAGTTCACGAATGCCATCTTGCATGCATGTAGAGCTAAGAACGCCCTTTGCAGCACACTCTTGCCAGGATGTTCAATTGAGGGGAATTTCTTCACTTCGTAAGAGCTCCCAGGGTTTCTTTCCTCGATAACACCAAGCAGGCGTGGCAAATTGTCATACGAGGCTTCGTAAGTTCCAAATCTCATCTCTATTATTTTCTGTTTGGCCCTCCAGGCCTTGGCATAGCTAATAGTATACTTGTATGTCTCTTCAATGTGTCGGATTATTGACCTTGGTTCATATGTGAGATTATCGATGACATGCGCATACATCTCAGATGCAACAAATGCACATGTAATGTTCCTGTGGTATTTCTGAACACCAGGTAGAAAATATATATGCTTGGTAACAACTGACACTGTCCAATAATCCTTCCATTTCCCCTTATACGCGTGCACTCTCCAGGGACAACCATCTTTTTCCTTAACACACCGAACTTCATATTGCGACCGGTTCGACTTGGCAACCCAAAACTCTCTATGAAGTGACACTGCAAAATGTTTTACCGCCTCCTTCATATCTTCTGCTCTACTATAAATCGCTCCCTGAATAACCTCATTTTCTTTGTACTCCCATCTCACACTATCCTCTTCAGAGACGATCAGCCCAGAAAAATCCTCACTAGCCCATTCTGCTGGATTAATATCCGTCTCATCATCTGACGAATCACCTTCCTCTACACGCTCGTTGTCAGAATCCTCCCTCTCCATTTCATCCACAATGGCACCGACAGTCTCCCCCTCGTCGGCCACTCCACCTGGTTGAATGCCCACTGGAGCTACTACGCCCCCGTCCTCTCGTGCGTTGACCTCCTCCACAGAAGTCTCGTTTACTTCAGCACTTAGTCCCTCGCCATCATCCATGTTCGTCTGCACACCTGGATCCTTCGGGTGAACAAACGGAACCAAAGCTAGAGGCCACCCGCGTTGCAATGCATTTTCCAAATACCATCTCCACACTCGAGAGTTTTGAACTGGCATTAGTTCCCAATAAAAACCCTCAGTTGCCCGACTTACTATAACATTGATTGTTATGTCACTTGTCTGTAAATCAACTCTCAAGCCCCTCATTAACCATCCTTTTATAGAAGGTACACTCCTCTCAGCCGGTCTATCAATTCCCCTTTCTGATACAATAAAATCTGACAGATCTACCCCAGTTGGCCCGTAACGGACGTTTCCTGGTCCATGGTAAACTTGGAATATTTGTTTGTTCGACATATCTGTCAACGAAATAACTAGATCATATTACTCTTTCATGCAATAAACATCTACAACGTAATATCTTCTTGTGTAAGCCAATGCAACGGTAATGTATTAATTCCAAACTAGCAGATCTACGTAGTTACCGATATCTACAATACGCACTTCTAGATTAGTACAACTAAAACCCTAAAAATATAATGCATTTATTCAAACAAATTTTTAAAGAATACACACTATTTAACTCAATAGTCACATATAGGATCTATGAATATTACCTGAAATCGGCGTCTGAATCCGGCAGGGCTTCGCCCCTTCTTATCTTCTCCTCCCCTCTCTTCTTTTTTTTTTCACTGGAATTGAGGAGAGAAGAATGAGGGCTGGGGCTGGGCAGCAGGCCTTTTATAGGCAGCGAGGCCTGCCGCCCGGCCAGAGGGCGGCAAGGGGCCGCCTGCAAAATAGCCGGCCCCGACTGGCTTTTTTGCATTCGGGCCCCTTGCCGCCCCACCAGAGGGCGGCAAGGGTTTTCATGCAAAAAAAACCCTCCCTCCGTCACCGCCCGTTCCTCCCCCCGTTTGCCACGTCAGCTTGCCACCCCAGAGGTGGGCGGCAGGGTCTATTTTTGTAGTTTTTTTTTGCCGATAGATTATTTCTGTAAATATTTTTTTAAAAAAATCTAAAACCGAAAAAAAGTCTCACTAAATGCACAATATGCGAAAAGCCCCCTCGAACTCTTCGCAAATGGCGAACTGATCCCCGCCGCTCGCTTCCTCTCTCTCACACTCGACTCCGGCGAGAGCACGGGGGCCAAAGCCGGCAGAGCGCGGCTAGGGCTTCGGCTGCTCCGGCCATGCGGGTGCTCCCCCTCGCGCTCGCCGCCGCCATCTTCTCCGGCGTCACCGCCATCCTCGTCTACCTCTCCGGCCTCTCCTCATGTAATGCGCGCGCCTTTTTTCTTCTGCTTTTGGCTTTGCGTGTGTCGATTCTGAGGTGGGATGGATGCGTTTGTGCGTGCGTGCAGATGGCGGCGCTAGGGTTTCCGATGCGGACTTGGCGGCGCTGGGCGCGCTGCAGAGCGGCTTCAGCAAGTGTGTGGTACGGTTTCCTGATCTGTCTCCGCTGTTAATTGATCCTGTTCACTGTACGGGCAATTGGGATTCAGTTGCCTTGTAATTGTGTGCAATTAGATGCTACATTGTGAGATTTGGGGCCATTAGATTTCCACACTCATGGAGAATCGGCGTGGTGATTAGTTATTGCTTCGTAAATTCTTGATTTATCGTGGTAATTGTTTACTCAAAGGCATAGTAATTCAGTAGACTGTCCTGGTATGTACTTTGTTGTATCGATAGTATCCTAATATACATTCACGAAGGAAATTTGTAGTGTATTCTTGTTTGTGGTGACTTGATGTTCGGTATATAAAGATCATTAATGTGTACTCGTGCTAAAAACAATCAGGATGCAAATGGTCTAGGGCTGAAAGCAATTCCAGGAGAGGATTACTGTCGAGTTGTAATACAGTATCCAAGCGACACAGATTCTAAGTGGGTAAGTGCACATGTGCTGTGTAATTTCCTTCTGGATGCAGGCCTTCCCATTTCAAATGTAGTCAGCTCCTGACATAGTTTGCAAAGCCTCTTTTAATTCTTGCTCTGTACTTACATCGCATCCTACCTTATGCTTCTGAAAATTGCCACTAGCGTGAACAGTACTCATTGCATACTCGTGCCACCTTTTGTGATGCGTAGGGATGGCAATGGGTCGGGTCGGGCATGGGTAGAGCAAAACCATGCCTGACCCGATGCCCGACATTGCCAGCCCAAACCCTACCCACTAGAGGTAGCGGGCAAAACTCCGTGCCCGGCGGGCGCGGGTATATCTGGCGGGTACCCAATGAATCTCACATGAATAATAACTTGAAAGATATGTAATTTAACAAAGAGAAATAAAATCAATAATTTACCAAATTATCGGTTATCAACAATAATTTGAATTACATCATAACTTAGTATCAATTAGCATCACAAATGAACCGAGAGAAATGGTATAAGAATTAAGAAATGAGTCAAAATTAGCTAATACATATGTATCGGATTGGGCATGGTTTACCCACGGGTAAAAAATGAAACCCACCTATTACCCATAACGTCTTCGGGTCTCGGGCGGGCGTGCCCATGGGTAAAAAGTCACACCCACGCCCGTACCCATCGGGTCGGGTATCCACGGATACCTGGACCCATGGGTAAAATTCCCATCCCTAGTGATGCGTGTGTTTGTTTTTCTTAGTTCTTATGCACTGATATTTGCAGAAAGATCCAAAAACTGGAGAACCTGAAGGTTTATCATTTGAGTTCAATCTCTGTGAAGCTGTGGCTTCATGGGAGCAGGTTAGCATTCATTCAACTGACATATGTATGTGTTTTTTTGCAGATGCATTGAAGTTTAATATTATATGATATAATGTAAAACATGGCAATCCTCAGTATGTAAACACTGTGTCCAGATATTTGTTAGATCACAGTATTAGCTATTTTTATGGACTTATGGTCACTCAGTTGCTTTTTTCCTAGGTTCGCAATAGCACAACAATACTTACAAAGGAGTACATCGATGCGTTGCCAAATGGTTGGGAGGAGTATGCATGGCGCAGGATCAATAAAGGAATCCATCTGTGGGTACACATACTTGCAGTTTCATCAAGATTTGCAGCATGATTAACTCCACAAACAGATTATTGAGCATGTTTAGTCTTGAAATTGCAGGAACAAGTGCCAGAACAGGACTCTTTGCATGGAAAAACTTTCATTAGTTCTTCCTGAGACACCACCATATGTACCTCGGCAATTTGGTAGATGTGCTGTAGTTGGAAACTCTGGGGATCTTCTTAAAACCAAATTTGGGGATGAAATTGATTCTTATGATGTCGTTATTAGAGAGAACGGTGCACCCATCCAGGTTTCTTTAAGATACTTATGTTTGCTGCTCTTGTGTCGTTCCACTCGAACATAAACTGACTTCTATTTTTATTGAAGAATTATACAGAATATGTTGGGACAAAGAGTACATTTCGACTTCTTAACAGAGGATCTGCAAAGGCTCTAGATAAAGTTGTTGAGTTAGATGGTAGGTCTGTCAGCCACCTATTTTCCCATTTGGTGAGATACTAAGGCATGCTAATTTTTATGGTTGCAGAAACAAAAAAGGAAGCCCTTATCGTTAAGACAACAATACATGATATCATGAACCAAATGATCCGGGTAATTTAGCTGTCCTATTTAAGAAAAATACGGTAGCTTGGGTACATATTCTGTGTTCTCTTACCTGCCTGCTGGAATTCTTGCTATGTAGGAAATTCCAATAACCAATCCAGTATACCTCATGCTAGGCACATCGTTTGGTTCCTCTGCTAAAGGAACTGGGCTTAAGGCTCTTGAATTCGCTCTGTCTATGTGTGACAGTGTCGACATGTATGGATTTACAGTTGACCCAGGATACAAGGAATGGTTGGTGCGATCGATCTTACGCACTAAATATGATGTATGTTGATGTGCAGATCTGCTTACAGTTGATGTGATGATCTTTCAGGACCAGGTACTTTTCGGAGTCCAGAAAGGGACACACTCCATTACATGGGAGAGCATATTATCAAATGATGGAATGTCTTGGTGTGAGTTTCTCATTTCCCCTAATCCGAACTAATCAAACCATTCCTACATGGAAGGATTATTACTTAGCCACACTGTTATAGTGTGAAGAGATAACTTACTGTTTTTAAATATAAACATGTGCAGCTTGTAAAAATCCACTCACCTATGCGAGGTGATCCTGGCAGAGTAGTAAAGTGGGCTCCAACCAAGGACACCATTGAAGCTGCTAGGGTTGCTTCTGAGAAACTGTTGAAGTAAGTTTTGTGGCCTACCTTTATTTAGTATGGTTCTTGCTTCCATTCGTCAATCACTCCATGGCAACCCCACTTAGATACTTAGTTACTAGATATTGATTTTCATCTGCTTGGTTCTGGTGCTTAAATTAACTAAATTAATCAGATATGTCATTATGCCACATGTTGTATAACTTGAAACTTCGTCGTTGCAAAATGCACTATAGGAGACCTGGGGCTGGAAGCGAGGGCCCTTTGAGCTCTTGCACCATGATAAAGAAGCGCGAGAAAGGGAAGACACCAAAAAGATCTGTTGTCCGCCATGCTGCCTTGAAGCATCTGGAGTACATGAGAGGTGCCACCAGGTACCCTCTGGAGCGGAATGCTGGGGGTGGTTACCTCTGCATGATCAACGAAAGATAGACATATAGCTGCCCATATTCTAGGAGTGGCTGAATTCATGGTACCATGAAGCAGAACACTGTACCCCGATGAATGAATCCTACACGGATAAACTATTTTGAGGGAACATTGGTGCTCATTTTTGTACAGAGCCGGCAGTTGAGATGATTTTACGCATGAGTAGTCACAATGTGTTGTAACTTACATTGAAACTACACAAGTGTTGTGTGATGGAATGAACAGATAGCGGGGCAGTTTGCTGCGCAATGCATCGGGTCGCCAAATTTGTCACCTGTAACTAGAAGAAATCTTAACTATGTACATGGAGCCTGTAATTCGTTTGGCAGTAGACATGCACTATTTGATTGGCATGATGGCATCACATTCTGGAACTTACTATGTCTTAACTTGCATAGATATGTTGACCAACAACTTGAGGCAAATCATTAGTATACAAATGATCTCTCTGATACTATTTCCAATCCTTTTCATGCTTCTGAATTCTGATGTTGATGAACAGTATGTATTGCACTTATGCAAAGTTCTCTTTCGTGAGCTGTTAGTGCATGCTGATGTACTTCTGCTACCTTGTTCACCTGCGTAAGCTCAGTTCTTGCACACTTCCATGGACTAGAAGAAACGAAGGAATGGTCATGGATGATACATGAGAATTGGAAAGAAACAAACAGAACTTAAAAAAAGTTGTGGAACCAGTAAACCAGACAAGTGGCAAACATAAGCTGATTATTATTATTATTACCACTGATCATCGTTCAACACTCAAAAGTGGACTATAGATCTGTAGTATGCATTATGCTAGAGTTGATATGCTCTTGACAGACAACAGTACGAATCAATCAATCCCATGATCTTAAAGGAACTTGGTGTGTAGATCTGGGTTCTTGGTGCAGTCATCTACGCAAGATGCAACATCAGCTTGCCCTGTCAAGGCATATAAGCAGACACAGCAGTGAGAATTCGGTGAGGAATCAGTCAGGATAATCTCCCAAATACGATGCACAAAAGACATACACAAAATGCAGATTGTTCTAGCTATCTGATCTTACCATTCAACGCCATGCCGCAGATGGCGAGCAGGCAAAATTTGTTGCAGTCGCCGACGGCCATCCTCTTCTTGTTGGGGCTGCAATCATCGATGCATTTGAGCACGCAGATGAACCGAGGCAGGCTCTTCCTGCAGTCAGGGTAGCACTGCAAGTAGCATCTGCAGAACTTGGACATGGCAGCCACCTGATGAAGCTGATCACCTGACAGCAGGATGAGAATGCAGCAGAGAGCCACTGCTGCAGCTGCTCCCTTGCCCTCCATCGATTTGAGTCCTCTTCCTCTCACTCATAACTTCTGTAGAAGCAGATGGTGTTAAGGCTGGGTCAGTCACTTGATCAGCACAAGGATTTTGCAGAAGAGAAATGACAAAACTAATGCAGATGAAATCAAAATGTGTGGATACCTTATGAGCAGCTTCTGAGAAGAAGAGAGAATTCACCAATTCAGTCTTTTCAGTTGATGTAGTAGTCTGTTGTACTTGTACATCATGCCACATACTTACTGTTTTATTTATGGTGCGAGTGCTATTGTGTTTCTTTTATTGTTCATGCCTTTTTTCAGAAGCTTTACCTGCAGAGATTGGTATCAGAACTGGGAAATGGAATCTCTTTTTTCAGATGCTTTACGTCCCAAATGTATACCGATAAACCAAAAGAAAAAAAAACAAATTTACGTTCTGTTTTCTTTCTACATTAACCAAGAGGATTGAGATGAGACAAAAGATAAGTGCCGGATACAGATAAGAGGGCTGAACTGAAGTAGTGTACTGAAATCTGAAGAAATGTGTTGAGCACCATCAATAAACCTACCTCTGGCTTTGAGATTCAGCCAAACATGAATGAACAGCATAATAATCGATCATATATTCATGTTGACGATACCATCGCAAGCTACTAAGCTCTTTGGTTTGATAGAGACCAACAGGATTGCGTTGCTGAGAAAATGAGAGAGAAGAAGAGAAAAGGAAAAAAGAACATGGCAGAGTGGAGTGTGGGCTGAAAGTTCAAATGGGCCGGCCATGGTCTAAGTTTGTCTTGGGGAAAAATGGGCCATGGTTCTATTGACCTTGGGGCGTCGGCGGCGGCCGGCGGCGGCGAAGACGGTGCGAGAGGGCGGCGTCGGCGGCGGCGGCGGCTCCCTGCAGCCACACAACCTGCTGCTGCATGGCAGCATAGCTCAGTACGGCATTCTGGCTTACTCATGCGAAGCAAGCCCACACTTGTGGGGGGAGCATTCTCCGCTCCCCCCACCATGCGACCCCTCCACGGAGGACGGAGCTGCATCCGCCTCCCGCCCAAGTTCCAGTTGCATCCGCGTCCTATCCTTCCATTCACACTATTGAAGTATTCATCCGTCACCATCGGCGTGAGAGGCGAAATCCCCCTCTCAACTTGGCCGGTTGATGATACGTCAGGTCCAGCTCTGCTCTGCAGTGTTAAATTTTTTTCAATTCCAAGTTGAAACCTGAAATTTCTCTATGTTGGTTGTTGATCTGTCCAGTTCGAGTGGAGTTCAACGGCATAATCGGTATATTGTAATACCCTCACGCAGCTGCCTTTGCGACTCATATCATGTATGGACGGTAATCCATTCCTGTACTGTTATACCCTCAGCTCCAAGCTCGTCGATACATTAGATTAGGTAACACCGTATGGTAATCCTATTTTATATTTTACAAGTTGCATTCTTAGCTAGATGAGATGGTTACTGAATCAACACCTTACTTTTGTCGTGGTTTGTAGGTGCTTCCAGGAAATTGCTTTGTACTATCCTTACAGGTTACTACTATTTAGAAATGTTTTGTTCCTTCGTAATGTTTTTCGCTGCCGCTTGTACCACTTGTATTATAGTAATGCTGTTCCACGCATGAACTTATCTCGACAGTTTTTTTAAGCTAAATAACTGGTCTGTAGCATCATGAGCTACTAGTTTTGTCAAGGTCGATGGATACACTATTATTCATTAGCAAAGATAACTGTGCTGCATAGGTGCATGGAGCCGTAGACAGTTCACTAATAAACTGTTTACCAATGCTTTATTGCAGCTGTGTACTGAAGAACCTGCAGTGTAAACCTCACATCTTTTTTATTTGACTCTTTATATGCTGCATGCCTTGTGTTATGCCATCCCTGTTGCTTCCATAATGCATCGTTGCGCTCCATTCTTCTAAATCCATCTTCTTGTGCAGGGCTTGTTCTAGCCTCCGTCGCCTTAGTTGCAGTGTGGATAATGGGGTTGGTTGCCACTGCAATTGAGGCTGCAATAGGATGGGTGGTTGAGAGCATCCTCGGAAATTTCTTCACTGGACAGATGCAAGTGTGGACTCGTGAAGTTGGCCTTTCTGAAGAAGTGGAGGAGCTTGAGACTGAGATGAGGAGCATGCAGATGGTGCTTGCAGCTGCCGAGAGTAGCAAGATTGACAACAGGCCACTGTCCGAGTCACTTGATGAGCTAAAAGAGCTGCTTTATGATGCTGAGGACGTGATGGACGAGCTTGATTACTACCGGCTCCAGCAACACATCGAAGGTGGTAACACACTCATCAACCTTCCATTCCTTGTTTCTTGCTTCATGCTTCTTTTGCATTTGTGTATTTGTGAGCTTACTGTGCTACTAAGAGCAGCTAAATACCATAATCCATAGGCACCAGTCACCGCACATCAGTTTTTATCAGTTAATTGTGATTACGTTACCATCATTTCAACTTCCATTATTTACCATTTTTAAGAAACCTTAATTATTAGCAGTGGATTGCACAAGTGGCTTTCTTTTGCTTGTCCCTTAACACCAAGTTTTTTTCTTATCCAGGGAAAGGTTCTACTGCTGCTTCTTGTACTAACCCTGAGGGAAGTTATGTGTCTTCATCCACTCCATCTTACTTCCAACGAGTAAGCAACAGCATAAATCAAATATTAGTTGGCCTATGCATGGAAAGAAAAGGAAAAGAGAGGAAGAAGAGGAGCAAACTCATAGCACCATGCTGCCTCTTGAGATTAAACATGATATTTCTAAGAGGATCAATGAAATAGTGAATTGTTTACGCACTAGGTGCAAGCCTGTGCAAGGAGTTCTTCAGCTGGAGATTTTACGCCAAATTGCAATGCCAAAGCACAGTCAGAGTGAGCCCAGAAAGCCTCGTCAGACGACTTCTCTTGCAATTGAACACAAGGTTTATGGGCGGGACACAGAGAGGGACAACATAATAGAGTTGTTAACAAAGGTGAAATCATGTGATCTAGGTGTTCTACCATTAGTTGGTGTTGGTGGTGTTGGGAAAACTACACTTGCCAGATTTGTATACCATGATCAAAGAATTAAAGACCATTTTGATTTGAGAATGTGGGTTTGTGTATCCGATAATTTCAATGAAAAGAACCTAACACATGAAATGTTAGAGCTCGTGTGTAAAGATAGACAAGGTTACAAAAATATAATCAGTTTTGATGTGCTGCAAAACACCCTTTGGGAGGAAATTAGAGGCAAAAGGTTTCTGCTCATATTGGACGATATGTGGGAAGATGGGAACAGGAGCGGATGGGACAAGCTGTTAGCTCCATTGAAATGTAATGAAGTAAGCGGCTGCATGGTTTTAGCAACAACTCGAAGGGCATCAGTTGCAAGAATTATAGGAACAATGAGTAAGGTTGAAGTGAATGGTTTGGATGAAACAGTGTTTTGGTTGCTCTTCAAGGAATGGGCATTTCTTGGTAATGAGAAGCTGGAGTGCAATCCAACTTTGCAATCCATTGGGAAACACATTGCTAAAGCATTAAAGGGCAACCCACTGGCTGCCCGTAGTGTTGGTGCACTTTTGAATAGGAGTGTTAGCTTTGACCACTGGAGGAAAGTTCAGCACAAATGGAAATTTCTTCTAAAACAGGATGATGATATTTTAGCCATCTTGAAGTTCAGTTATGAATTTCTACCGGTCCACCTGCAGCACTGTTTCTCTTACTGCTCTCTGTTCCCAAAGGATCATAAATTTAATGGGAAAAAATTAGTTCGTGCTTGGATATCGCAAAATTTTGTGAAGTGCGAATGCCGTGCTGAGAGACTTGAGGAAACAGGGAAGCAATATTTGGATAATTTAGTTGATTGGGGCTTCTTTGAAGAGGTTGAGTCACACTATGTTATGCATGACCTAATGCATGACTTGGCAGAAGAAGTTTCATCAGATGAGTGTGATACTGTAGATGGATTGGAATCCAAGAAAATTTCACCAGGTCTTCAGCATTTATCAATAATAACTACTGCTTATGATAGAGAAGAACCTTGCAATTTTCCTAGGGAGAAGTTTGAGAACATACTACAGAGTATCGGGTCTTTGCCAAAGTTGAGAACATTAATGTTCTTCGGTGAAAATAGTATAATGTTATTAAGGTCCTTAAATACTATATGCAAGGAGTCAAAAAGGTTACGGTTACTAAAGATTTATGTGACAGCTGCTGACATCAGCTCTACACACAATTTGTTCAAGCCAAATCATCTTCGCTATCTTGAATTTATTGTTGTTCCCACCAATAATATGTTTGGAAGTCGAGGCATTGTAAATACCTCTATTCCTCAAGCTTTGACAAAATTTTATCACCTCCAAGTGTTGGATGTTAGCAGTAAAGGAAATCTTGCAGTTCCTACTGGTCTAAACAATCTCATTAATTTACGGCATCTTATCGCTCATGAGAAAGTGCACTCAACAATTGCTGGCCTTGGTAACTTGACCTCTCTTCAGGAACTAATCTTCAAGGTTCAAGATGCTGACAATTTTAATATAGGACAACTTCGAGCCTTGAATGAGCTTGTAATACTTGGAATTTCTCAACTCGAAAATGTGAAAACTAAACAAGAGGCCAGCAGTGCAAGAATGATAGACAAAGAGCATCTTGAAGAGTTGTCGTTGTTGTGGAACGATAACAGCATGAACCCTGAACCTACTGCAGAAAAAACAAGAGATGATGTGATTGAGGGTCTCGAGCCGCTTCAAAACCTCAAGCATCTACAATTGATTCGGTACAGTGGTGCTACATCCCCAACTTGGCTTGCTAGCAGGGTTACCTCACTGCAAGTACTTCATCTAGAGAACTGCAGACAATGGCAAATTGTTCAATCTCTTGAAATGCTTCCACTGCTTAGAAAGCTAAAATTGATTAGGATGTGGAACTTGATGGAAGTCTCAATTCCTTCTTGTTTGGAAGAGTTGGATTTAGTTAATGTGCCAAAATTGGAAAAATGTGTTGGCACTTACGGGCTAGATTTGACTTCTGGTCTGAGGGTATTGATAGTGAAGGATTGCCCTATACTAAACGAGTTCACGTTTTTCCACAAGGACTATTTTCATGCCGAGCAGAAGTCATGGTTTCCATCTCTCAACAAACTCATCGTCGGTCGTTGTCATCGTATAATGTAGTTTTCTCTTCTTCTTGATCTTGCTTGTTCAGTACAATTGCAGAAGTTTCCTACACTTACTTTGTTAAATTATGTTACAGAGCATGGAAGATCCTTCCACTGGAAGAAATGCAAGCACTCAAGAAGCTGGAGTTGATGGATGTGCCTGTTGTTGAAGAATTGTCAGTTCCTTCTCTGGAGAAGTTGGTGTTGATTCAAATCCCAAGGCTGCAAAGTTGCAGAGGGATAACAACTGCTCCATCTCCACATTTTTCGACTTCCCAAGGAGATCAAAGGGAATTGGTATGTGGTCTCCGGGAACTCACTATCAATGATTGCCCCAGTTTGTTAGTGCAGTTTCCTATCCCGCCTTCTTCTCTGATTTCGTTCTTATCCATCAAGGGCCTTTCATCATTTCCAACAATGGTGATAAATCGGAGAGTGCTCACAATCGAATCTAATGAGTTGAGTGAGCTCGATGGCAGGATCTCACCATTCCATAATCTGAAGGGCATAACATGGGTAAACCTACGGCGTTGTCCAAACTTGACCCGCATTTCGATAGACGGTTTCAGCCAACCACATGTCATGTCAAAGCCTGTTCATGATAACAGTATACCTATTACGAGTTACCCTGTCCTCCCATCTGTCAATTCTCTCAGCATTCAGTCGTGTGGCATAGCTGGTGGATGGCTAACTCTAATGCTTCCTCATTTGCAGTCTCTTGAGAACTTGGAGTTACGAGACTGCCCACAGATAAAACTTTTATCAACAAGTCAATGTACAAAAATAGAAGCACCGAACAGTTTGGCTTCAGCAGAGACAACCTCTGCCAGGGACAAATACCTTTTGCAAATTCC